TGTGCACACGCCCCTTACATCGTGTTGTAGGTGGCCAGGGCATGGGGGCAGAGGGGCTTCAATGTTCTGTAGCTCTTGATTGTGTGATTCATAGATCATTGGGCAACTTTGGTTTCGTCATGGCTAACATGAAAAATGAATGGTGTAGTGTATTTTAATAGTTTATAATAAGGTTGTAGGGCCGTGGAAGTACTAAAAAGTAACAAAATGGGAGGGAGGCATGAATGGGAATTACTGCTGTGCATGCAGGGTCACAGAAAAATGTTGGAAGATGCTCGAGACAGACATAGCGAGTTGTCAGTTCAGTTTATGTATTTCTGTTATCTTCAGGATCTCCTGGTTTTATTTAACCCTGTGGCTCTAAGTATGTGGGTTGTTAATGGAGCAGACCTGCAGCCAATGTTCACTTTAAGTGGCTTCACCTGCAGGGCACCATACTGTGCAGTGTTGTGTGAGTCACTGGGAGAACATAATAACTGCGACACACGTCGATTACTAACGCTTTAAAGAAATGTGTGGATCCACAGTTCTCTCTCCATTTGACTCTCTCTGCCCAGACAGAACTGCTGCAGTCTAAGAGCTTAACCACATACACCTGGAAATTAGGAGCAGGGTTTGTTATGTTATACAGACAAACATTTTAAGATGAAAAACAATTCAAAATGATGTAGGTGAGAATAAAAAAGAAAAGATATGGCACTGTCCTGGTCAAGAGACACCAAGCTCTGTCAGTTCATGTTGACAGGAAATCACTTTGTTGGTTATTCTCTTGAAGGGAATTTGGTAACAATAAGAGATGCATCATCAGGTGCTTCCTTTACTTGAGAAGGTCAAAGGTCATTAAGGGCTTGTGTTCTACACCATGAAATCCTCCTCCTTCTTCTTCTTCTTCTCTTAGTGCAACAAGATGTGTATTGAAATCTGAGGTGACGTTTGTGGAGGGATACTACATACTGCATCAATCCACTGCAGGTCTTCACATCCTTATTGGTATAGGGACATCGCAGCTTTTCGTGTAATGCATCTGGGAATTTCTTTGGGGAATTGCACAACATAAATAGACAGTGTAAGATGCATATCACTCTGTAGTCGCTACTCGCTGTGAATTGAATATTTCATGATTTAGTAAACAACATAGTTCAGCTGTAGAAGCACATGTTTGTTTCATGCTGCTCCCTGTTGGACGAGATGTTGTGTACGATGGACTCTATGTTGTCTTGACACAAAGTCTCATGGGTCAGTAGATGTTCTAACATCGTATGTGTGAAAGTGTATGTTGTCCACGAGTGCTTTAGTCCACTGAACTGTCAGGAACTTCAGAGAGTGAATAGGATGATCTCTGTTTTAACCGTCGACTATGTTATCTCCTTTCGCCCCGCTCTCACTCTGCACACCATTCTCCATCTTTCCTTGTGTTTTCATTTTTCTCCAGAGCAAGATTTCTCCCCAGCTTCCTGCCATGTTCTCTTTTTTTATTCAGTGAGGAAATTCTTGGTTTTCAAATTTTGACAACCCTGCTCTGTGAGTAATCCAGAGTTTGAACACTTCTTCTACGCCTTTTAAAAAAAATCTTGACACAACCAATTCTGTCACTGGTGAAATCCCTGTGAATAAATGGTGCATCACTTTGAATGTCTTTGAGGAGATTAAAAAGTCTGTCCTTCTTTTTATAATGGCTGTCTTTTCAGGTTTTTTAGACTTCCATTACTTCTGACTACATACCATTGGTATTAGTTCCATCGAAGCATACCCTGTGCCCTGCGGTGCCCGCTCTTAGGTACATGTTTGGGGTGAAACAGAACACAGTTGATCCGTGATCCGTTTGGATGAACCCCCCTATGGTATGGGCCAGGGTGTAAAATAAATGTACTGCTGCTAAATTCATGTGAAGAGTATCAGAGAAGAGGAGGCAGCGGTTAAGAGTGTTTGGTGTGTCCATGGAGATTTACTGTACAAACAGGAATTCAATTCACTCTTCTCAAATATATTTATACTAATGATTTTCTCAAACTTTCATGCAGACATTGGTCATGTCAACGGTGTTTTTAATTCACTCTGTCGTGTCTGCAGTTATCATGCACGTATGTACAATAGGATACGATACACTTTATTTTCCCCTTAGGGAATTTTGTCTTGGACTCAAGGTGCTGCCAAAGATTCAGCTGCTTCCTAGAATCAATGAATGAAAAAGAACATAGAAAAACACATCCACATGTAAACAGAAAGGCACATATACAAAACAACATATATTGCACAATATCTGCAAAGGCCTGCATCAGCTCTTGGCTGCATATGTCATCATCAGAAACTTAACATTGTAATGTGACAGACTCTGCAGCTGTAAACTTAGCCAAACAAACTTTGTTACAGAGTGATGTGGATGGTCCAAAAACTGAAGTTAAGCCCCTGAATGCATCCTCATTACCCCCCTTCATGGACACATACACATGTCAATGAATAGTGTATGTTACGAAAGACTTCCATCCCAGTCCCTGAAGGATAACATTTTTTGAAGGATAAAAAAAACTGTTTTTTTTTACAGTCTCTTGTACTCGATTTTTAAAAGCACTTTCAAATTAAAAGGCACAGTTTGAGTCATGGCTAGACGAGGAGTCTTTGCTTATTCAAATGCAATACAATTGTGACAAAAATCCATGATCCAATCTGAACTGAGAGATTTGTGATCTGTTGCAAATCCTTTAGTTCATACCACTAGTACATGGTGCAAGCCACAGGACTGATGCTGTGTTTCACCTGTGCTTCAGTTTAGGAATCAAAAGAACTCTGATTAAATGTATTGAAGACCCTGTTTTTACAAGCAGCTACATAAACTCTTCAAAAGTTGAAGTAATTTCACATTTCATGTTTCTAAATTTAGATTTTCTATATCTGAGTTGTCTTTTTTCCATTCTCTCTGGTGTGAAGTGATGAAATGTAACTCAGTCCTCCAACCACGATTTGGCATTATTAGACTGAGAGTCTGGGCACAGTTGGAATGTTTTTGGTCACTGTCAATCAAAATATGATCCACCACGTCCACAGAGACTTGATAAAGCTGAATGTTTGATTCATCAACTTGAAATTTCAACATTACTGTTGCAAAGATTTCAGAGATTTTCTGTGAATCTTTAGACATGTAACCAGAAACTTCTCTTAACCTTGACTTGCCTTGACTTGGCTCTCATAGACTTAAACATAGCCATGACTCTAAATGTTGTTTTTGGGTAGCTCAGAGTAATTCACAAAGAAGGATATCACACATGAAATAAGGTTTAGAGTAAGTAAATTAATTTTAAACTTAAGGTAAGAGATTAATAGTGATGTAAGTCTGATAAATCAGTCATAAATGAAATGTATGGATGAGTGCAGGTTTGTGAAGTGCAAACAAAACCAAACTAGATGGTGGAGGCCTGAGAGAGAGAAGTTAGGAAGCCACTTAAATAAGCTGAGGCCTTATTAACACAGGTGTACACAGGTAACTGATGTTAATGGTAAATGGACTTCTATTGCGCTTTTACACCGCAGACATATTAAGCATTTCTAACGATGATTTGGATAAAACATGTTTTTTCCATTTTTTCAAAGAGAGTCTCTTGTGGGTTAGTATGGAGCTCTGCAGGCTAAAGAAAGGGTGATTATAAACTCATTTCATGTATTGTATATATCTGTATGTTATTGTGTTGGACTTATAGAGACTGTAAAAACAAATCTTCCTCTGGGACATTAAAGCCTTCCTCTATTTCAAAGCATATTTGCTCCTGCACATAAAGGACACTGTAGCTGTGTAAACACTTCAAGAAGGTCAGGATGTGATGGTGTCAGGACGGTCTTTGACAGTAATTAAATCAGATAGATACATGTTATAAAAGTAATACAATAGTGTTAGGACCAGTTACTTGTAGCAGAGGCCATGTTTTCTGAAATCCATGAACTGGTTTTAACCTGGTTTATTCATCTGCTTTACTCTGTACTGTATGTGTCATACTAACAGCAGACCTTTTCTGAACATATTGTACTTATACTTAAAATGATTGATTGTGGACGTTCACAAAAAGAATAAAAGGTCCTTTCATGAGCTGATATATATGATGATCAATGATATTCCTGAATTATGCACTGATGAAATTGACCCCACAATTACCAAGTTTGAAACAGCTTGTGTTTCAAATAGAATGAAACTATTTGGAAATAGAATGACAGCAGAACAGCATTGTGGAGAGATCTAGTTTTCGCTGCTTGTCATTGTGTCTGAGAAGGTAATGTTCTTGTTTAATGCCGGATTGGATGACATTTTAAAGTCACTGCTGGCCAAAAGTGATTTTATGTCACAGCAAAAAGCAAAACTCTGAATAACCTGACCCATCGCATCACCTACCAACTAAAATCTGAAGAGCTTGTTGAGTTGACTGTGTTCTGTTAAGGTCAAGACCAAACTTTTAAAGGTTACATATAATGCACAATATACTTCACCATGTGTATTCTGACACTGATATGCATCCCTAGCTGTCTCTAAACCCCCAAATTGTGAGGAAAGTCCATCTTCTCCATCTTTTGCCTGCTCTACTTTTCAGAAAATGTGTGCTCAAACAGCAGTAGCCCCTCCCCCAGGTGGGTGACACTCCCACAGCTAGGTGTTTGTTCTGCCCTCTGAGTCTGCCTCTCACCGTATACAATAGGACATGGAGTGAGAAAGCCCGAATACACCCAAGCCCTTCCAGAGAGGGGGTGTGGTCAGACACAGCTCATTTACATATTTAAAGGTACAGACACAGAAACAGCCTGTTCTGAGCAGGGCTGAAATAGAGGGGTTTATAGACATGATCAAATACAGGATCAGAGTGGATTTAGAACAAGAAACTTCACACACATGTTTTGAGGAGCTCTGAGACTTATTTACACTGAAGAAGAGGAGGAGGATATGTGACCTTTACGGAGTATAACATGTTTCTACACACATAGGCTACTCTAACATAATTTGTCACTTTGTTTGTTTTTTCCAGCCACTGAAAAATCTTTATGCCAATGATGGCTCGCCTCTGCATCGGCTCGGCCCGTACTTCTCTGACGGCCAGCGACGGGTGGATTACGTGCTGGCGTACGACATCCAGAAGCCAAATAGCATCCGGCGACGGTCGGCCAAGTTTGGAGAAAACAACTTTGTCAGACGGTTTCGGCGCAGCCTGAGCATGAGAAGTAGCAGAGCCCCACTGCAGCCAAAGGAGGACCCGGAGATCGCTGCCCAGGATCATCGGACTGATAATTCTGATGATGACAAGCGCTTCAGGAGGGAAGACTTTGAGGAAAACCTCCTGGAGACGGGACTGGAGCTGGAAAAAGATGAAGGGGTAAGAAGGGGGGGGGGAGGTTTGTAGGTGTACGTTTTAGAGCGCAATGTGAGTATTTTGCAACACTTCCTGTTTCTAGGCCTGTGGGGCCGTCTGTCCTATTTAAAGCTGTTTACATTGGTAACAGTGGCAAATGTTTCCATTGCATCAGTTTTAAATTTTGTTGAATATAGAAGAAATTAGACTTCCAAGAAAAACTTCAAGCACCAAGTGGTTCATTCTGTGAAGTGTCAGCTTTGTGGTTGTAGACTTTCAGTAACTCCTGAACCGGCCCAACACGTCCTTGGAGGGAGAGGCAGAGTTTAAACACTCAATGACGCCTCACCCAAAGGACGCTGAAAAGCTGCAGTCATTAAGGTGTCTCAGCCTCCCTGGGGTAGAGCAGTGTGGAGTCTATATAGTGGAGGGTTGTATGGTTGTTTTGGTGTCATTGGACCGTCTAGTTTTTATTTTTTTTGTGAACTTCAGGAAGGACCCTGATGGCTGATATAAATGGGCTAGCTGGGCAAAGCCCTCCCTTTTATTAAGTGAACACAGTAGTTACAAGAAAAACATGCAACATCTCTAAATGGGCTAATTCCTGCAGCTCAGGCACTGTGGCATCCTCTTCCATTCACTTCTTTAGTGTAAATGATTGACAGATTTCATGGCACGTCCTCTTGATTTGCTGATCATTTAGGCTAAATTCATTCAGCACTAGGGCCACAGACTTTTGACCAATGACAAGACTGCGTTACAGTCTGTAGAGATGCTAAGAAACGAACTTAGTATTTTTTAACTCTCAAATAGATAATCTATTTTACTGAACACTGTTACAGAAAAGATTGTTTCTTAAATTAAAGTTACCCCATTCTCTATCCCAATCTATTTAGCCTGTTAATGGCAAATATATGTTAGCATTAAGCTAACCAACTCAAATGTGCATCTCTGTCCATCTGTCAGAAATTTCAGCCCCCTGTGGTAAATAATACACCAGCCAGCACGACTGCCTATGACTGTTTCCCCCTAGGAAGTCCTATTTGTGGGGGAGGGAGTTAGAGGCATCCTTGTCTTCTTTACTAGCCATCCAGTCATCACATAACTGCTATGAGAGTTGGGTTTTTATTCTCGGCACAAAATCAAACAATTTCTCCACGTTATTTTCAGACTCTTGTTACCGACTCTGTTCTTTTATTTTTATTAAAATAATTTGTAAGTAAAGCAAGGAGGAGCATTGATTGCTGGGCATAGTCTATCATATGTTAAAGCATGTTGATTAGACATTTTTACATGAAAATCAGTTCAATCACAAGAGACAAGTAAATTAAATATAGATAAATATTTATAAGATAATATATAGATAATGTGATATTGAATTATTGTCTTCAGCAGTTGAACTCTAAAGGGAGATGGAGTGAATCAGGGGTTTCTACCCTGACTATTTCCCCTGAGACCAGACACTGGTGGTGGAGATGTTGGCTGATGGTGTTGTTTAAAGCTGATGAGATGAAAAAGGGGATGAAAGTGTGAAAACTGGGGTCATGGACAGGGGGATGAATGATATTGTCGTCCGCGGCTGATGAAATGGTGAAGCTGATGAGATTGCAAAGCCGTAGAGGTGATGGCGAGGTGGAGGGTCGCCCGATGGCAGAGAGACCTTGAGGAAGTGAAAGCTATATTAAATAAGACAGCAGTATTATTATAGGCTAACAATGAGGGAGTGCAGCAGTGCTATTGGATAGACACGACCAGGTGAGGAGAACAGCTGTTGACAGGACAATCACCGAGCATGTGTGGAGGAGTGAATGCAACATAGAGAATGGACAGTAAAACTTGAATGCAGGATAAGGTCTTCATGACTGAACTTTAGCTGGAGTGACATTTAAAAGCAGGCAGCTACTTTGCGACTTCAGGATGATTTAAACCTGATAATTGAGTTGCACAACTAACTCTAAAGTCGGACTGATTTTAAGCCTGACCACACATCTTTTGCTGTACAGTTTAAGAGGCGATCTGCTGCTCCAAACTGGTCGGATCAAAATCTGGCAGGTCGGGAATATTGATCTTACGACGGCATCAGTCAGAGCAGATAGCCACAAGCCGATACCCAAACCTCAGGGCTCCGATTCTGTCGTACAGTGTGAGATCACATACCACCACGACATTTAATCCTACAGTGTCGGCCCTGCCTTACAACAAAGGTAAAATAATCCGTGTGTACACAAATGTCAGGTCAGTGGCGATTCTAGAGTCTATTGGGGGCCCTAGGCAAATATTCATCGGGGGCCCCTCCAACCTGCGTTCATCACCATTATGTCTGCAAGTGTCCTGACGCTTTTTACTCCCAGACGGATAATTACTCCCCATTTTCGTTCGGTGACTTTTATTGACAAAGGTTGGTTTTCAAAGGAGAGGGAGGGCTGTCAGATGGGGCCCCCTTTAGGAAGGTATCCTACTGTCATTGCAAAATTTGCACATTTTGAGCTACTGCTTTGGTTTAAAGTTTGTCAGCCCTTGGGGGGCCCTACTGGCCTGGGGCCCCAAGCAGTTGCCTGCCTTGCCTATTGACAAACAGTGCCTCTGTGTCAGGTTAGAATGAGTGGTTAGTTTCCTGCCCCATGTACAGAGGCGTTAGTTCTCAAGGTGGGCAGCCCGGGTTCAAATCCAACCTGAGGCGTCTTTGCGGCATGTCATTCCACACTCTCTCTCTCTCTCTCTCTCTCTCTCTCCCTCATTTCCAACCCAATCCACTTTCTGATCCAGATCAATCTTAAAAAAGAAGAAGAATGTCCTGAGTATTTTAGACAGTTTTGACCTGGGTGCCATCAACGTGTGGACCATATTTCCCAGCAATAAATCCAAGAACCTTTCAAATATTTCAATTGGACTGTTGCTTTGGAGCTCAAGTCAGATTCTCACCAAAGTTGGAAGCTGGCTTCATGTGGGCACCATCAATGTTTGGACCAAATGAATGCCAGTTGATGTGGGTAGATGTTGAGATCTTACAGTATTTGACAGGAGAAGTAAAAACTTTTCCTGGCTAGTCAGTGGCACTACATGAAAAATCTATCCATCCATCCATCCACACTTCTGTTGATAGTCAGGTAATTGTTTTTTTTAAGTTAATCCACATCTTTGAACTGACTCCAGAGGATTACTTTGACATCAGCCTGTTTATTTTTCTTTTATTAGATCATCTAAACATGGATGTTTGCTCAAGTTTATTCCTGGAAGCTCTTGTGTCACTGCCTAGTATTTGCTATGTGAGTGAATCCATGAAGAAAACATTTGTGGTTATTAAAGTAAAGCCAGAGCTTTTTTGTCACTTCTTAGTCCCTGGTGTTTAGAAATAACAAATGAAAATGAATTGACTCTTCACCCAGTGAATCATGTGTTAGAAATTGCAAACCTTTGCCTGATCACAGCTGGGTTCCAAACATGTTCTGCCAAGGCTTTTAGCAAATCATAGTTTAATATGTCAAACTCAGCTTGTCATTAAATGTCACTCTAAATGACTTTAAATGTGGGGGAAAAGTTCTTAGTGGCTAATTGTGTATGGAATGACATGTATTATTCCAAATAAAGAATTAAGGTGGCTAGACAAGGACAAGACAAGGAATCACCATTAGGTCTCATGTCATTTTTTACAGCAGAAATCAAACTTGTTTACAGCCTGGTATAAAGAGCCTATGAGTTATTCATGCATTTGCATAATTGTAGGCGCGGCTGATTTGACTGACACGTGGGCACATCATAGCAGTTTGATAGGAGGCGTACTATTTGCCTGATTGATCAAAGATTGAGATTCCCTTTGGCGATGGCCAGTCATTGGGCTTCATTAAGCCTCATCAGAAACCTATGGGTGACGTCACTGTGACTACATCCATGGTTTTATAACAAATCACCACCATCACCTGCCAAAGGAAGCAAACACAATGGAGCTGTGTTTTTTCTTTTTTGGAGGGTTATGGTTAGGGTTAGCAGTATAGCTGAAGAGAGACAGAAAAAGCTGGGAGGGGATGACATGCAGCAAAGGGCTGAGGTCAGATTTGAACCCAATGGTTGCTGCGACGAGGACTACCGCCTCTGCACATAGAGCACAACAAAACACTTGGCTGTCCATCGCCCCGATGGAGCTGTGTTTACATCTGGCACATTAGCGAAGAACTGGTAGAGTCGGTTGTTCTCAATCGGGAGGCTGACGGTTTGATCCTGGCTCCTTTAGTTCAAATTTTGAAGTGTCCTTGGGGAAGCCACCAAAACTTCTCGAGTTGCATAACCAGCAGCGTGTTATGTTTATAAAAGGGATTATTTATGACTGATGCATCCTCTGCTATCACTGTATGAATGTGTGTGTGAAAAGTTGAATGTGACATGAAGTGTCAAAGCTATTTGAGTGGTTAGAAGACTGGAAAAGCTAATTGTATATACAGTCTCAACCATTTACCATTTAATTATCAGTAATACAAAAGAAATAAGCAATTCAGTTAAAGCAATCACTCCATAAAGGGTTTATGTGTCATACATCTTACTAGAATTACCACCATACTTTCACATATGATTGCAAAGCAGAGTTTAATTTCCTGTTGTGGAAGGCGTGCATAAAATACTTTCTCCCCTTGCTCATGCTTTCCAAAGTTTTTTCTAATTGCATGCTCCTGCTGCGACAACCTCATTTCATCACAGTGTATTTTTAATCAGCTGTTGGATTAAAGACAGAAGAAACCTTTTTAATATGATGTTGTTTGATACACAGTAAGTCAGCTGGAGTTGGTTGTTATGTATTTTTGTATCCAGACGGGTCAGTGTGATGAGCTGTAAGGTGTGAAGTGAGTCTGGCGGTGTTTGAGTGGTTTACATAACAGCTGAGGCTGCAGAAACAATCTAATGCAGCAATAAAGAGTTGAGTTTGTGCTGCAGAGGATTTAACTCGACGGTGGAGCTTTAAACTCGGCACTAAACCAACACCAAGCTGTGTAAGCTGAAATACTTCATCTGTTAACCAAACATGTAGTGTTTCAAGCATCTGTTCATGAATTGGAAAGTCAAGAACTATCCCAACTTGTATGCAGAGACACTATTTGACATCATAACCTTGGTTTGATTTCAGGGTAAGATCCCTGGAATCGGCTTCTTGAAGATCCACGCTCCCTGGAACGTTCTGTGTCGAGAGGCTGAGTTTATGAAGCTCAAGATGCCAACAAAAAAGGTACTCAACCCATCAGTGAAATGTCCTTTTGTCATACACAGATTCACTGTGACTTCTATTTGTGCAGAGGCAGACTGCATTTGCTGAAAAATGTAATAAATCTGTTTCCTGTTCTTCTATGCTTGCGTTTGTATCTCCCTATTGAGACCATATAGTAGAGACAGCTCCTGTCGTTGGAGTGAATTTGATAGAAATCCAATAGGACTGCTTAATGCATGAATAATCATTGAACATTTGTCAAGTACCATAATGCACAACGGACCCTGCCATTTTAATCAATATGGTAGTTAACCCTAGTCTTGGAGTCTAAACAGAAACCCCCACTGTGGGACAATATGTAATTCAATCCTCAGCTACTCGGAAGTAGTCCAAGTCTTGGCAAATACAGTCCTTTTATGGGTGAGATTAACTATACCTTCAGGTATATTTTACATAAATGCAACTGGTTTCAGGTCCATTGCTTTGAGCATTAAAGGTGCCCTGCAGTGGTCTAGACGGGCCAGTATCCACTATCTCTGATTTAAACCTTGGCCAATTTTTAGCCATTATAAATCCCTTGTTTCAAAAAAAGGTTTGTTTTAACTTTATGCTGTTTTTCAAGAATATAGTGCATAGCCTTACATGCTGCCAATATCCAAACCTTTCAGCACATGAGGATATTGTCATTTCTTAGTCATTGATCTAAAGACTTGGAGAACATAAGCTCTATAATAAAATATGTGGAAATAATATTTAGGAGTTCTTACTGTTTAGGAGAAGTTGATCATTTGAACAGTAGTGCTAGAGGAGACATCCCAATCTGATCGTCATCTTTTTAAATCCCTGCAGGTCTATGAAGTGAAACAAGGCGGTAACGTGGTGGAGAAGATCCGTCTGTTCATTCGCAAAGTCACAGCTCCTCTTCACCCCAAAGTAGACGGCAACAAGCCCACAAATGTCAAATCTCTCTCTCACCCTTTCTCCAGAGAGAAGCAACATCTGTAAGTAAAACCTCTGTTGACTGTCAGTGGTAAAGAGGATGTTCACCTTCTGAAATCTGCTGACAGTGTGTTTATGTGGATACCAAGTAACCCAATGAAACCTCAATTAGTTCTGTTGAACAACACAAGTCTGGTAGATATCAAGGGCTTAGCCCAAACATAGGATGGGGCATGCTCACCCCTGAGAATGTTATGTCCCTTTAAGGCATATGATCGCCTGCCTGGAGTGGCAACTTCCAACACCTTTCATGAACTGTGCTACCTGAGATGTGTCCCTCTGCACCTTTAAGAAAAAGCTAAAGACCCAGCTCTTTCATGAATACCTACTAACTTAATGATGATGGTCTCCATATTATTGATGATGATGATGGTTGTGACGATGGTTTTTGTTTGATAACGACGACTTATAAGATGGTTTCTATACTGATTAGAGCTCTCAAGAATGTTGTGCTTTGCCTCTGGTCACTTCCTGTCAGCACCTGTGTGTCCAATCAGACTCAAAGCTGATCGTTTGCTCTTACTGACATTGTTCCCTTTTTTTCTAGATCCTTGCTTGTGTTGTTCTTACTCTCTGATGTACGTCACTTTGGATAAAAGCGTCTGCTAAGTGAATTGTAGAGATGTTTTGGTAGTAGCAATGGAGGAAGGAAAAAGGCTAAATAGCAACTATGGAAGCTGATTTACTCTCCTCCAATCTTTCCTGTGTGCCTATGTGACCTGGAGTTGTACAGTTCATGGAGAGGAAGGTCTGTTGCAGCAAATTGTCATCTTGTCCCTTGAAGGAATACACACTATAATACAGTCATACATTTAGGAATTGAGTTGCTAATCTGCTGGCACAAAGGAGAGGAAGTGATGACCATATTTGTCTAATATCAATTATCTTTATTTAAGCTTGAAGCACAAAAAAATTGGCTGGTTCCCCAGTGGTTTAATAGTTGATAGATGATAGCCTCAGGGTTCTAATTTTGCCTCGACAGCAGCAACAAAAAGACAGACAGAGGTAGAGACTGGCTGGTGAACATTGTATTTTCTGCAGAAGTTGGTGGAGAGCAAATATGAGCTAAAAGCAGAGAGACTATCGGACTTTCATCTGTGGACACAAAAACTGATCCAAATACAGCAAGGGATCGAAGGGCAAGGTGTAAGCATTTCGTTATCAGGGCCATCATCCTCATATCTTCATGTTTAATCTCTGAGCCAAAGTGGATTTGGAAAAAGGGCAGCTTAAGCCACACAGGGATTTCTATGATTAGAACAGCACGATGAAGTAACAACCACTGAGGTGTAAATTAGAATAAAAATCGCACAACAAGACCATCAAACAGTTTGACTCGAGCATGGCAGGAAAGCTGAAGCGTGACGCTCTCCTGCTGCATGCAGCCAAAGCCTCCATCCCTCCGCTCTCTCTCCCAGGAGGAAACAAACACGGCTTGCCTGAATCACAAAAAAATCATTTACACTCTCTCCACACTGTGATGGAGGGATTTTAAAATATAGACTGATTAAAAACGAGACAGAAGGCCGGACTTCTCTGCTTAACTTCTCGGTTCTACAAGTTAAAGCATTTTGAAAAGCAGTGATCAGAGAAGAAGAAGAAAGTCTGAGCTCAAACGTCAGCCTGCTGGGATGTATGGAGGAGAGAGTGGGCAGTGGGCGACTATATTTACAGCTCTGACTAACAGCGAGCCGGAGATCTCCCTCCACATCTTCTCCGTCTCTTAATCTTTGTCTATTTTGAAAACACTGCAAGCCAGATTCACGAGGTAAAGCCTAGCTGTAGATTAAAGTGTCCTTCAAATAAACACTACTGGATCTGGCTTTGTCAGAAATTGTTGCTTATGTTTTTACATTAAGGCATTAAGAAATATTAAAGTCCCTGTAAGGAGATGGTACTAACTAGAAGTAGTACTGGTTTCTCTATGTGACCTACAAAAACAAGGTAGGTTGTCAGACGTGGTGAATAACAGCACAGTAAAGAAACAGCCTTTTAAACATTTGCAATGCCAAAGATGTATAGTGAGTTGTATTTAAGACATTAAAATGAAAGAAGGAACACACACACATGAAGATCATCTTTGTCCACAGGGGGGGCTAAAATCAACACAATTTAAAAGGGCCTCATAGAAGCTTTAAAGGCTTTATGTGTGATTTTTTTTTTCATCCAGTAGATGTCGCCATTGAGCACCAGCATGAAACCAAAACAACTCGCGGCACATTGTTGTGTTAGCATGCTAATGCTAGCGATCTTTATTATGCTGGTATCTTCACACTGCATGTAAATTTACCTGAAATGAGCGTGATCTCGAAACACAGTTAAGCAGTGAGTACAGTATGTTATTCTTCTTTTCTCTAGTCCCTCAATTAAACAACTTTTATACACGAGGGGAGGAGTCAGCCGGCCGTCCTGGCGATGTAAACAAACTGAAGACAGGACTCAGACAACTCGGAAAACACAGATAGTGGGACTTGGTGTTACACCCATTGTAGACAGTCATGACTCTATTTTCAGAGGATATACTTGATTTGTATTATATTTAAGTGTGAAAAACCACATATAAAGCCTCTAAGGTTCATCAGACTATTACCTGCAAGCACCCTGGTAAAATGTCCGCATAGAGATGGGGTGAGCTGATGTGTGAATCCAGCAAGAAATATTCAGTAAATAAAATCCCCACAAGCCAGTTGGCGGGGATTATGACGTTCATATCATGAGTACATTGATTGGCTGCTTCCATCTTCTTGCGTGCACCAGACTCTGCTTTAAACTCAGGAGGTCCTTTGTTTCTGCAGCAGTCCCATATTTTAATGAACATTTTTAGTTGTGTGTCTGACTCATGGCTGTACATGACTATTCAAATGGTTTCAGTGGTGTTTGTTGTTTATTTTTTTGTTGTGTACTGTCGATATTGTTTGTTGTGTGTGTGAACAGACCAGGTGACAAATGATTTCCCCGCTGGGCATCAATAAAGTTTTCTAATCTAATCTAAACTAGCGTCGGACTCTGTGGCTTCACCTGTCATCTTGGATTCCCGCAGCGTCTTTATAATGCCATGTCTTACCTCTTGATACTTCACACTGTGAGGGACATACAGTATGTGGGGAAAAAAAACAAATAAGGAAGATTTTATGGGCAGGAACCTGAACTTGTTTGTGAATTTTCAAGAGTGCATTTTGTGAAAACAGCTTCAGAGACTATCTCAGCAAAGATCAACAAGACTGACCAGCAGCTCAAGTACTGTACTTACTGCCCGGACACAGGAGCTGCCCACTCAGTCACTTTGATGACATGCTTTCAGAGCACACACACTGCCAAGTGCTTTCCCTCTAGGAATTATATAATTATATAAAACCTGAGTGATGTGACTTTTTTTTTTTTCTTTTTAATTCTTCACAAAATAGGTGTTACCTTTGCTATTATTTCTTCATACCTTCAAAAGTCTTGCTCCCTTTTATACCTGCTTGGTAGCAAAAGAGGTTTGTTGGAAGAATGAAGCCACTTTCATGTCGACATATCGTGCAAAATATTGATAGTGAAAAGATTAGAAAGGACAGACGAACAAAACAGCTGTTCCCCTGTTGGCCAATGTTGTTTCAAAAAAGTTTGAGGCACATTTTATTTATAACGGCACATATATTTACAACGTATAAAAGGTGAAGAATGATCATTAAACACTAATGACGAGATCCAGAGCATAGACAGAGGCTGGAAAACATCCAGAGGACGGTGTTGTGTGTCCTAGAGTCACTGTAGTGCATCGTAATAACACAGCATCTGCATATACATTCATCATGTGACTCCTTTGTTTTTGTGCTTTTGGTCCTGTTTGAGTTCAGATTAAGGCACAGGAAATGTTCAGGTCTGATGTAAACATGGTTCTGTCTGATAAATGTGTTTTTATTTAACGTCTTGTCTGAGGCAGCTTAAACCTCTGTTTACTGTGTGTCACCTTCCATCTGACGTCTTTGGATACAAAACTAAAACCCCACCTGTTCTATGTTTCCAGATTCGACCTGTCTGACCTGGACAAATTCTTCGATAGCAAGACCAGGAGCTCAATAGTAAGTATTGCTCATGAATAATAGTAATTCATTTGTTCATTTGTAGCCAAAGCATTTTTGGACAACACGGTGTTCATGGTGTTGAAGCGTTTCTAAGTCTCTCTCCTGGTTGACTTGTGATCATGGTGGCAGCTAGTCAACACAGGTAGCCATGTCCTGAAGCCTATCCTCTTAATTATTTTGTACTCCAAGTGGGACCATTAATTACAAAATAAGATCATGCTGTATTGAAGAAGACCTTAAAGTCACAATTAAGCCCATGAACTCATTAAGGATTTTTTACTGAGGTAATAAATTAACTGAGAAGTAGAAAGAAGTAGGACTTTATTCACATCCAGAACCCTACAATCAGACTTCTTCCTGCATCCTGTGGACTCTTTCCTTATAGTTGTTATATATATATATAATAAAGGTAAAATTCACTTTCACATTGACCTCCATTATTTAACTAAGGTGGGACATCTATTTATGATTTACAGTCTTTAGTACATTGCGATGTGATGCTAAGCTATAGGATAACATATGATGCGATGCTATGCTATGTATGCTAGGGGGATAATGTAAAAAACACAGAATTAATAAGAGAAGATGACAAAGATAAGAAAAAGATTATAAAAGATAAGAACACCATGATGCAATTGCACAACCTATATACACTCCTTATTCAGAAACATTAATCCTTATGGTCTATATGATGAAGACAAGTCAAATTTTTGGAGACCGTGCTGTTTTAGTGAACACAATGACCCCTCCTCCATGCTCTCCAGAACCTAAAACATTAGCGGTTGAGTAGCACACTTTAATGTTTAAGTCAGTCTTTTGGATTATAATAAAAAAGACGATTGAGGATCACTGATGCACTCATCAAATCAGAATTAGAAAAAGGCAAACCAGCCTAGCTCTTGGTTGAGGAATAGACGAAGGGCCCTATCCGACGTCCGGCTGCCAGCGTCTTTCCTAATTTCAACTTGACGCAGGTTGTGATTTTAACACCTAGTTCCAAAACGGTTTAATTAGCAAATTAACTTGAATCCCCGTTACCGCCAATGGGTGTGTTTGTCTTAAAATGAGGTGTGGTCGGGCGTAAAGGTGGCAGGTTTCTTAAAAGCCATACCCTTATTTAATAGTGAACACACAGAACATGAACAGTGTCTGGAGGTTTTAATTACTAGTCTGGTTATGATTTTGTGCCTCATGCGGAAATGTTCACTCTCTTAATTTGGAGAGGCACTGATCGTACATCACGTTGTTTCAATGCTTTGGTGTAATATTATTTAAGTCTGCCATCAACTTATTTCATACAGTGTCCTGCGTGTGATCTCTGTGTTAAGTTGCAAAATGAAATTGTCCGGAATTCGTCTATCAAAGAATAAAGACTGATATTGGAAATGTAAATAAAATGTCAGCCTGCAGACGCCGAGATTGTGCACCACCTGACGAGCAAAATGTAGTTGGACACAGCTAAAACCACTTGAGACAATGAGCTTTACATTGTTACAATTGTTTACTATTGTTAAAATAGAGTCTGAAAAGGAGGAAAAAAACATATCGCCACCCTCAACACGCCTGTCAAATCCAGTAGATCGGTTTTATCACATCAGTATGTTAGCTGGCAGTCGATGACGGTTGATGAAGAGAGGAGAGCCTGCAGGAGCTGGGAGAAGCCAGACGATATAAGTGCGAGCTCTGAGGCTAGAACCAATAATCTCCCCTGAACAGCCTCCTCGCAGTCAGCCAATGGCGCTATAGAGTCACCTGCAGCCAATCGCACAGAGAGATTAGAAACTAAAGCACATACTAATACATAGACAAGGGTATATGTTTGAGTAAAGTGCAGAGAAAATAAAATATAGGGCGAGCGATATATTAAATGTATGGGTTTTTTTTGTATTGTGAAGAAAAATGTGTCGTCTGCATAGATTGAACCACACACAGACGTGTTGTGTGCTTGTATTTGACAGGAGCACAAAACATGACTCTGAACCATACATGTGCTGCTGCATTCAATGACACACATACACCGACACAGGCCTTTTTAACACCTAACTAATTACTGGCTAAAGGGATTTTCTTCTCATTATTGGTGGGCTCCTTGTTGAGCTCCGGCTCTGGTCAATAAAACTGTGTGAAGGGCTGCATGTTGTACTCTGAGCTGATAAACAGCCTCTCTGAGAACAGGTGTACTGCAGTTCGCCTGCACTCTAATAAATTGACCTCTGGGATTATGCAAGTAAATATCCAGCTTCTCATCCTCCACAAAAATCTTACTTTTTAAGACTGACTGTGCTTGGTTTAATGAGGTTTTAATGATTTGTTGTGTCTCCAGGTGTATGAGGTACTGAAGAGGACAAGGTGCACCAAAGCAAAGTACGCCATGGGTAAGACCTCTGCCTCTTTGCCCTTTACGAGGGATAAATCAATCTACAAAGGAGCTTTTCTTCATCTTAATTTTCCCCAGAGAAGAGGTGTGATTATCTCTGCCATGTGTCAAACCTTAGCTACTTGTACTTCTCTGTCATCGTCCCAGTGAAGTGTTGGCTGAAAGTGGCTGATAACCGGTGAGATTATCGGCCTTGGCTGAGTTCGACAGTCTCTTGAGAGTTATGTAATTGTCAGATGAAGAATATATATAGGAAATATGTTCAGGGTGTTTTTTTTTTGAGGCAGAAAATACAACATCAATAGAACAAAAAAGAAAAAGGAAAAGGGCAGATTGAAGAGCAAATAAAGCGAGAGGACACGTAGAGAGAAACCAAGGCAGTGTTTGTTTAGCAGTGAAAGTATGCACAGAAACAGTTTGTTACATAAAGCTGCACAGAATAAAAGTGAAAAGGACGGTAAACTTCTGCACTCCTTGTTGCATGCTGACTAACAGAAGGATATCAGGTGATGTTGAAATGTTATCACCTTTTTGGAATATTTTGAAACAGTTAATTTACACACCCCCTGCTGTTTTTGATGAAGTGATCACCATGAGTGTTTTCACACACTGGGCAACTGTGGGTTGGTAGAGTCAGTCGTCTCTCAACTTGAAGGTCGAGGGTTTGATCCCCAGCTCCTGCAGCCACATGTGCGATGTGTCCTTGGGCAAGACACCAAGTTGCTCCTTCTGCTTTGTTGGCGGTGTATGAATGTGTATGAATGGGATTAGTTACTTCTGATGGTCACTTTAGATAGCAACCTCTACCATCAGTGTGTGGATGGGTGTGAGTGGGTACGTGTGACCTGCAGTGTACAAGTGGTCAGAAGACTAAAAAAGCAATGTTCAAGGTCGGATGCATGTGTGAACGCAAACGTCAGACATTTTCACCCCAACTTTATCCAGACTTTTTTCCTGCCAGCCCTCGACCAAACAGAGCTTTGCCAAGAGTTCAAATCCTGGACGTCATTTTGACAATATGTTATAGAGCGCCACAGGAATGAGTCCTAAAACCCGGAAGTAAGTTAGCATTTGAGCACCATGGGGTCTAACGTCTAAAAGTCAACGGGGATTTTGAATGGGTTTGTGGTTAGACGCCTGAAATAAGGTCTGTGGTTAACTCAAGCTGAAGAGATGTTTGCCACAGAAATGTGTGTTTGCCACAGAGATTATTTTCTGCAGTTATCCAAAATCCAATGAAAACATCCCAGAGGAGGATTCTCGTTAGACCCCATGGTGATGCTACTTCCGGGTTGGCCTACAAAAATACGTCATATGGTTTGTTCTCTATAATCGTCAATCAAGAAATTCTTGTGGGCCAATTCTTCACCCCAGCAGTCAGCACACTCATGGTCCTTTAAAGTACGTATTGATGGACTGATGAAGGCTCTGCACTGTAACTCGTCCGTCGTTGATCTGCACGCTGCCGCTCTACCCAGACAATACACACTTTAAAGGACTGAGTGTGCTGACTCTTCTGTTTTCTTTGTTCTTCTTTAGCCACACCCCCAACCCTTAGTGGTTCATATTGTTGTCTCTAAGCTAGTGTTGTAGTTCTGGAAATCAGTCTTGGTCCCAACATCCGGTCTGGAGTCCACTTTTTGAAGGTCAAAATCGAAAGCATTTTGACTCTGTCTTATCTTGAACTGGGCTTTTTAAATTAAGACCGGTCAAGACCATCGCTGGCGGTCTGTTTTTTTCCACGTCATTACTTTGATTCGAAGGAAAACGCCCATTTCTAAAATAATGAATAACTTCAATTCATTCATAATTTGATTTTCATCCCCCGGTTACATCCGCAAACCTTCCCAGTGTTACGCTCTAAATGAGTGACACGCCCACTGCACACAAGTTGATGATTTTTAATTGATATTTATGGTCTTGGTCACGGAGCACTCTGGTCTTGGGTGTGATTGTACATAAGGAGAAAAAAGTCACATTTTCTTTGCACAGTAGAATTTTTTTGAGGTGCACTTAGTTTAACCAACAAACAAAGTGGTTTACATGTTGATGTCCACAGCCTGTTTAACTGTGTAAGACTTTGTTTCAGTCATGACTTCATGTTAACAGATCTCGTAAATGACTTTGGTGGGCGTGATCCACTCATCATTGAAAGGAAAGAAAACAATGACAAAAAAAATATCCAGGCCTTATAATGAGAAACCCAAGTTAGCCTTTGAGGTTTGTCGCGATGTGCAATAACAAACAATTAAAAACCCATGATATGTCTTCTTTGTCTGATCTTTAAATAGGAAATACTCATCAGTCATTTCTTGGGTTTAAAGCTCTGGATGTGTTTTTAATCCCGAGCTCGTCTTCTGAGTTTTACATCCCTGTGTGAGACTTAGTGTGCATGCATGTGTGTGTGTTTGTGTGCTTTTCTCTGCCTGCATCATAATATGTTGAATAATCCTCTTTCAGGGATCACCAGTCTGCTCGCTAACAGGGACTACACATCTGCTTATCCTCTGCATGATGTGAGTATCTGCATCACACCTCATGGAGGTTCTCCGGTCTGAGAACAGCTGATTAATTACTGTTTGTTTACTTAGAGTGAATTATTACATTTCAATTAGTCTCTAATGTGAATATCCGCAGAGCACCTGCTACTTTCACTCTGTGATTTATGTGAAATGAATTCATATGTGACTAGCATGAATCAAATAGTGTTTGATACATTTGTGTTTACAGTAAAGGCATTTTTCATTATAAGTACGATGAACGAAGTGTGTTCAGTTTGTCTTGCAGGGTTTTTAAACGTGTGTGTGTGTGTGTGTGTGTGTGTGTGTGTGTGTGTGTGTCACAGGGAGACATCGAGGGAGTGAGTGAAGAAACTAACGACAGGAAGGTGAGTCCACCTGTGAGATGTCACACTTTCAGTTAAAGGGGCTATATGTAACGTTTTACATGTATAAATAGTTTTTTATCTCCCATCAATAAGCGAATGGTTAACTGATGTGAAGAAGTAGATGTTCACTGTCTGTCTGTGTTGCCTGTATAAAAAGTTTCCCGGGTCGTATTTTCCGCGAAAGCTCCAGGAAGTGACATCTTACGCACGTTCTCAACGTCCTCCTCACTCCGCTCCGCTTACAGAGATCAACAGAACAAACTCATCACACACTCCCGGTCTTCACCTGCACAGCCAGAGGCCGTCTTCCACACACTTCTATCCACCCTAGGAGCTCTCAAAGACAGACACACTCATCACACACTCCCGCTCTCAGCCAGTGCCTGCAGAGAATGAATACAGACACACAGACTCCTCACAGACTTTCACATGTGTATGAACACTTACCTCCTCTGTAAACATTATGTCAGTGAATATCCAGTGTATCGCGGCCGATGATGATGCTCGTTTGTGTACGTACGAGCACGTATGACGAGCACGCGAGGGAGAGCGAGCAACAGGTTACTGGTGCAGTTCGCCTAACGGCCATGCGGTGTCATTACAAACGCAGTATTTTTGAAAGTTACATATAGCCCCTTTAAGAAGCAAGCACTCAGTTTTTTCAACTCAAAGCAAACAATGATAATAAAAACAACCAACCTATTAAGGGCCTGTGTCCAAAGACAATGCTTTTTGTGCTTTCAAAACAAAACCAATGTAGTTCAGCGCCCTGAGCACAACTATATATAAGGGCGGCTGTGGCTCAGTTGGTAGAGTCGTCGTTCAATCAGAAGGTCGAGGGTTCGATCTCCGGCTCCGCTCCTGCAGCAACATGTCCGATGTGTCCTCGGACAAGACAAAGACACATAACCCTGAATGTATCCCGCTGAATTTAATAGTAAAGGCATATTTGAGAGGCTCATCTGGAAATAAATGAAGTTGTTGTAATAAGGCACCGTCTTCCAATTAGAAACAAATAACCCAATGATTCTTACATTACAACTTATACATGTTATTTCACTCCTCAGTAACCGCCCTCCTCCATTGAGATTAACACATTAAGGAAGTAAGATTCTCTCTCTCACACAGATGAACTATTAAAGCAGAGATTTTATTTTCCATTTGTTTAATTGGGTTTCACAGCTTCCTTCTTAACAAAGCACAGTAACACCACGTTCACACGTGAGTCAAACACTTAATTCGTCGCACCGTGAGGGATGGTTTTGTAATAACGAGTAAGAAAAGCATGACAGACGAGCGGGCTAACACGACAGCTGCTTTTAAAGTTTCTGAGAATTTGAGTTCCAACTGTACGAGAATAAAAAGAAGCAGACGATGTGAAGGAACATAAGAGCTCAAGCTGAGTCTGAAGTCATGTCCTCCCCTGCTAACACTCTCCATAATTATACTGTAGGCTGTGTGTCACTAAGGCAACAGCCTGATAATCCCCCCCTCTGTTGTTCTCTGTATAGCTGTAGCTCGGAGCCTCCACAGCAGCACACGTACATATTTCGCATTACACTCATTCTCCTTGGCTGTGATAGATTTTTAAATGAGTGTTGGTTTTCCCTCGGGCTTTTTTTTCCTGCTGTTACCGGCCGTCTGAACACTCCTCCGGGGGCTGCCTCCTGTGATTTAAAACCGTCACTGCTTGTTCTCCGGTGTGCCGCTCAGCCCGTTGCACACAGAGGGTGTGATTGTGTTTGTGATTTGTTTCACCCTGGTTTATGTTGTCGTTGCCTGGTTTGGGGGGGGGGGGAACTACCAGAGCACAAAGCCAGTGAGCTGATTGATGATGATTGGTAATGACCGTATCACACAGATGTGATATGCATATAAATATGTTTGACCACGAGGCACGACATCCCACTGAGGAACATACTAACACACCGACACACACGACATGCTTCTGAGAGCACACTGATACACTCCTTCTAGATACCATCATATATTATTAAGTGTATGTGTAGAATGAATAATATAATGTCCTTGAACTTACAGGCGGATGTTACACATAAACCTGAAGTAATCTTTACAAAAACAGTAAATGAGGCATTTTGAAATACATTTCCCTGTCGAGGTTACAGAGAGAGCTGCAGTATTTTGCAGTATGTTGGCATTTTGCAGTAACTCACACAACAATCAATCTATGCATTATATACATACAGGTTACTCAACCGAGGACCATAAGGGTGATGTATTGTATCTTCAGATGCACTGTAGGCTGTAGGCAGCTTGTTGGTTGTGGTTGGTTAAATAACTTAATTAAAATAAACCCGAGTTGATTCACTAGTAAAAAACTAGGGTGTTATTTCCAATGAGGAAATTCTGTTTGTGTGGTTTTGATTTACTGCCTTTAGTCTTTCCAAATATCTCATCTGATGCCTTCATTCAGCACGGACATGCTCTGAGCAGATAAAAGGGAGGAGTTCTCCAAAGGCAATACATGACACTATTTTTGCCTTTCAATCCGAGTATAACAGCACTACGTGTTTATCAGCATATTTGTGGTCCCAGCTAAAGAGCAGACAAGAACAAACTGGTCACAGAAAAACAAAAGGAAGCAGTTTCTTTAATTTCACAGAGATCACTTTCTCACATCAGCTCCCCCCGACTTCACACAGAACATTTAGTAGGGGAATTGGAGGAAAAATTCCAGGTAGTCGGCATTAAATTGGAGTGAAATATTCGTGTGTTAATGACATTAATACTCTGATTAATTTTTTATATCACAATAACAGGTGAGTCGTGAGCATTGTCAAGATTTCTGGGCCCCATAGAAAGATATCACCTTGGGCCCCCTCCACCACAGCCTCAGGCAGCCCCGTGATAAAGCTTTAACCACACCTCCATCACACAAAAGTGACAGATTAAAAGCTTTCAAACTAGTTTGTCAGCGTTCACCTCCTTCAATACTTTTTCAATGTTATCTAGTGTGTGCAAATTTAGATTGATTTAAATCAAGAGTCAAGCTGTGGTGCTGAAAAAACGGATCCAATTCAAAAGTGCAAAAAAAATAAAAAAATGCAGTTCCTCAAGTGTCAACTTGAGGCTGGCTGCAAAAGCCCCAGAGGTCACATTAACACCATAATTAGGAGCTGTTAGGGTGCTTAAGGTCCGCCTACCTCCGCGTCTGTTTCTAGGTTACCAACAGTTAGTCGGAAACGGCTTTTCCATTTGCAGACATCATTATTTGGCTTCAAAAGACCAATAAGTGACATCAATGAGACCTAGTCCATGTTCTATAAATATTTGTTCTAAACATTAACATTTCTATTATTAGCATAAAACACACCAGCAGTGTTCTTCCAACAGTCTGCGACGCGAACGAGCATCAGTGACAAAATCAGCTTGATTGACTTGCTTCCTATTGGGGAGTCCTAACTGCCTGGTGCAGCGATTCTACCCTGATACCCGTTTCTATTTTCCTCTCTGCTGCTCATGGACGGACACTGAACGTGAGAGGAGGGGGCTCTACAAGGCACTAGCACTTGTTTTACAGTGTCGTTCTTTTTTTAAATTGTCAAAAAATTGCAGAAAAACTCTTACACATTGTCTAAATCTAGAAAATACTATTTCCACAGTTTAGCGCCATCCAAGTGCGCGCGCCCCGCCCCACGTGGTCAGTTTCTGGAGCGTGCGCAGCTGTGATCAGCTTGTCATTCATCACAGGAGAACTACAAGATAACGTGGGAAACTAAAAGATAGTGGAAACTTGGAGAGTGGAGACTTCCACATCCATGATTCATCAGTACATCATCAATACAAAGCACCACACTTCAGTTTGTCCACCTTCAAAACAAAAAGCATTAGATGTCATACCGTTTGCGGAAAGTGAAACTGAAATTCACAAAAAATGAAATATTTAACGGGTGCAGAGTGGACAGCGAGCGTCCATTGCACGATGCGACGTGGTATCTGATGCGCCCGTGCTGTTAGGACACACACAGTGTGAGTGGTGAAAACATACTCCCACTTATTCACGGTGAACCAGATTCAAACTGTGGAGACATTGTTTATTGATACACAATGAAAATCTCCCTGGTTACCCAGGATGATTTCCTTTTTTTTTTATTCCTATGTTCATGTTTTCCAACATGCATAAAAAAAAAAACGTATTTGAATTCCTGCCCTCTGGACAAGCGTTGCCTCAAGACGTTCAGAATAGAAAGTGTTTGGAGGGAACTCCAATCAATGAAATCAAAGAACATTTTATCCCCAAAGGAACTGATTCACACACAGAAACTGATCGTGAGCAGTTTTCCTCTAAACCGTTTGTTGCACCGGACGTCAAGATCTCATGTGATCTCAGGATGTGTCACCTTTCCTAAATCAGCAGCATTATGTGTGCATGTTTAGGACAATGCTGTAGGAGTGGGAGAAGGGACACATACAGTTACTCCCATTTGATATGATGATTGTCTGTCCACAGCAATGATGTGTTACACATTGATGAGCTGACAGGAATCCCTCCTGGAATTCACTTAAGTTAAATAAATCCTGATATGTTGTCAGGCCTGCAGCGCTGTCCTTAATTGCATTGATTTTCTTTTTTTTTGTCACCAGCACCTTCTTTGGATGTGTGGAAACGTTTTTCTCACTATACACCACAAGCTCAGTTGTGCTCCTGCAGAAAGAACAGTTAACTGTGAATATGCAGAATCAGTGGGTTTATATTATCATACTTTTATCAGCAGTGCATTAGAGAACAGGCTGTGATGCTCCGTCGTGCGTAATGTCAATAAACCTCCACACACAGAGAGGGAGTGGACGGTATGGATAGTCACTGATAAAGAGTGAGTCACATTGTATATTAATGAAGGTTGACTCTTGTGTTCCCCTCACAGCTGCTGTACGACGAGTGGGCCAGCTACAGCGTCTTCTACAAGTACCAGCCTATCGGACTCATCAGGTCAGATCCATCGCTCTGCTCTCGTCACACCCCGTCAGTTGATTACAGACACATTTCAGCAGCATTATCTGCCTTCACCCGCCTGCATGGCAACAAGTACAGCCGAGGACTCTCACGGACTAATTGATGCTCCGCTTGATGCGCATGCTGTTCCTGTGCAGAGACCGGGAGTGTGAGCTGAATCCGATTGAGTTTTCTTATCGAACCCTCTTGATCACTGATTTAGCACGTCACTAACAGACACCACAGACAGATTCAAGGAGATTCCTCTGCAGATTCCTGTAAGATTCATGCCAGTAGCTTAGCTAGCTTGTATTTAGATTCAGATTCATTCACTAGGTGAGGGGTCTCCTCCTCTACAGAACAAGCGCACCTCGTTGATAAAAGCACTTTTCAAATCAGTGTTTCTCTATTGCTCCTCAGGAGGGGCTGTGAGCTGAGCTGATGCTGGTTCTAGGGGCTTAACTTGATTTAGGTTTGGATTCATTCAGTGTTGATTGTTCTCAAGGTATTTTCCTGGACCTGAGTTATCCACAACAAACAGACCCTGGGGTAGAAACGGGTATTAAAACTAAATACAATTAAATAAGGTTTATAAAGGTTTATATTAAAAAAACACTAAAAAAAACACTCCTCAGCTTTATAGGCTGCAAGCCAAGCGTAAGCTGACTCAGGCTCACCGAGGGACTCAAAGTTCTCATCTAATTAAGTGATTTCAACACAGTTTGTTGTGGTTGTTTTTACGACAGGCGAGCTTGAAGAAGTTGTTTGTTAAAGGTAAAAACACAACAGTTATGTGGGCAGATTGTGCTGTTTGGTTTCATGCTGAGTTGGGGGAAAAATTTACAAAAAGTGGAAGCATGTACTGAAAACAAATCCAAGACTGACGCCCGAACAGTATCATTTAAAATTTTGCAGTGGCTTATTGTTTTACACATTTTAAGCCTTAATGATTTTTCTCCTTCCACAGAAAGTATTTTGGGGAGAAGGTTGGATTATATTTCGCCTGGTTAGGAGTGTACACTCAGATGCTGATCCCCGCCGCCATTGTCGGAGTCATTGTTTTCCTCTACGGCTGTGCCACTGTCGATGACAACATTCCCAGGTACAAACCACACACACACCCAAATATATATGTTTTTGTGTTTTTTTTGTGGATCTGCAAAAATAAAACAAACACTTTTTAAAATCCAGATTTTAATCAGTCTGGCGCCTCAATTAAGCCGTGTGCAATTGAAGGTCAATGTAATAGACAAATGCAATCTGAATATTGGGAAATTCTGTCAACGGACAAATTACAACTCTGATAATCTATATTCCTCCTCAGTAAAAACACGTTTCATGAATAAAACTGATCTAGGTATTTACTGACATTTCTTTCATTATAAATTGTAACCTGGTTCTTGTTCTTCCCTTTGTGGATCACCACTCTGCCATCTTTCAACCATTTGAATAATTTCTCTCTTTCATCTCTCCCCATTTTTTGCCAGTATGGAGATTTGTGATCCCAGGAATAACATCACCATGTGTCCGCTGTGCGACCAAGCCTGCAGCTACTGGAAGCTGGTGACAGCATGTGGTACGGCCCGAGCCAGCCACCTGTTCGATAACCCCGCCACCGTCTTCTTCTCCATCTTCATGGCGCTCTGGGGTGAGAACACATTCACACACAATCATGCAAAAACAGCAAAACAAAGAGTCGGATCGACGAGTACAGCATGATAAATACAGCCTGTGTAACTACACATCGCTGGAAATGTTCCAGTTTAACAGACAGCACTATTAAATCAGTTCAGTAGAGATTGTGCAGTAAACAAGGAAACCTCACCCCAGGCGTACATAAAAGTTACTGTCTTAACCCACGATGATAACTCCTGAGTAAACACAGGACCAGACCCCCTCTGATGTCCTGCCAAACCATGCTGCCATCTGTTAGCAGCAGCAGGGCCTCAGACCAGGGAGGTGTTATGTGTTAGAGAGAAGCTGGTGTCTGACGGAGTCACAGCTCCACAGCCATCTGGGATTCACCTACTGGCGGCATGAGGTGGCAGACTTACATAAGCTTTGCACCCAAGGTATCCTTCATTTAGAGTTAGCAAAGGGGTTGACATTTGTGTGAAGGAAAAGGATGCAATATTGAAAAGAAAACATTTATCCACCCAGAGTTGTGTTTATCACTCAATGCACGATTCATTTTGTGTTTGATACGTGTCAATGTATCTGCAACACTTCAATCATCAAGCTAAGCATATGGCGAGATCAGTTTGCGACAGATGACACTGATGTTTAACATTGACAAAATAAGCCTTCGTTATCAGAGACTTAAACAAGTTCCTCTCTGGGGGGCGCGTCAGCCTAGTGGTTAGTGTACGCGCCCCATGTACAGAGGCTGTGGTCCTCCAAGTGGGCGGCCCCAGTTTCAAATCCTACCTGTGGCTCCTTTCCCGCATGTCATTCCCCACACTCTCTCTCTCTTCCCAATTTCTGACTCTATCCTCTGTCCTGTCTCTACAATAAAGGCATAATAAACCTATTAAAAAAAAGAAAGTCCCTCTCTGGTATCCACCCTGCTGACACGTCTGCACATGCCAAGGCCAAAAAAAAAGAACATTACCAAATCCTCTCTAGACGTGGATTATGAACACACACAGTATGTGTCACCAAGGGGCGTGTCCAGAGGGGTTGCCAGGGGTGGTAATGGCCCCAATTAAAAATCTGATTTGGCCGCCCAGGTGCCAAAAAACCCTCAGAGTGTTGAAATAATTTTGGCTGAGTTGCAACAGCCAAAATTGTGTGAGTCCTTTCAGAATTACACTAAGAAGATTTTTGTGTTGCCATTCTTTTTTGTTGATTAGAATTGGATTTGATCAACGGAGACAGAAAGGTTCAATAGATTAAATTAATTTGTAGTATTATAACACATAAACTTCATGCCACCCCTGCATAAGCCAGTGTTTCAGTTTGACCACTTAATTCAAAAAACAACCTGTTGTAACCTCATGCTCATCTTATGAAAGATGTCATGTCCCCGCTCCATGCCCGTGTATAGTTTTTATAGTGACTTTATGGGAAAAAGTATGTACAGACGAATTATAAGCTTGCACTTAGTTTGCTGTTTCTGATTGTTTCTGCAGCCGTTCTCTTCATGGAGCACTGGAAGAGACGACAAATGAGACTCAACTATGTCTGGGACCTGACGGGCTTCGGAGAGGAGGAAGAGGTGAGATACCCCCCACAAATATAATTCCTTTAAATGCATGTAGCTACCTTTGTGTTCTTCAGAAGCTAACAAAAATACCCAGATCAGCACCTCTAAACGCATTAAAAATTGTATTATATCTACTTTACAAAAAAGTTACATGGGTAGAATATGTTCTTCTTGATGCACAAATTAATCAAAATAAATACATCATCTTAATCACTCGTCTGGTGCTAATGGTTTGGTTTTATCCGTTACCCCCATTCTCATGTCTCAGTGTGATTTTTATGCTAATTGTTAGCTGGCTGTAGCTTCACATTCAGCCTTCAGATTTATGCCAATGATCCGCTCATTTCACTCTTGACAAGAAAGTAAATATGTTTACATCCCAACATGTCTCAAATCACCAAAACAACACCTCTCATCTAAAATGTTGTGATTCTACTTTATATAAAACTCTTCATAAAAGCTCATTCTAAAAGCTAAACCAAAACTGTTCCTCCATTACAAGAAAAGTATACTTTAAAAAACAGTGTTAGCTTTGGAACAATAGTCAGTCATTAATTATGGCTGATTGAAAACTTGTACAGCAACATTATTGCTGTAAGGCGCTAATGTGTAGCCCCGTTTAATAAATCTCTCCTCTGTGGCTGATGTTCAACAATCAGTGCACACATGATGGATTGTGATGGATTGACCAGCAGGTATCTGCAGGTTGATTTCGGGCAAAGTGAAACAAAAAGCTGTGCGGATAAATGCTAGAAAAAAAGATTTTGAAAAATAATGTTAAGGCTACATAGTTTATTAAATTGCGAATTGCAAGATGCAGAAAAATTCCAACTCATTGTTCTTGTGAACCATTAAGCTCCCCATTTTTTGCAAATGATAAACAACTTTCTTACAAACATAGAGATTGTATAAAGAATGGACAGCGCAACACCTAGCCTAAAGTGAAGTCATAACATTTAGAGCTCCCCCTACTGGCCGAATGCAGGACATAAAAACTCCTCCTCCTTTAAAGTTAACAGAAGGGACATCATTCAGACTTTAAAATCAGAATACATGACAAGTTTCTGTCGCGCTGAGAATTTTTCAGACTTAAAAAAAGAAAGACAAAATGTACATTTAAGGGAACCAAAGTAAAATATGTAAGATAAAATATGTGGAAGAGTCGTGCGCTCGTTGAACATTTATGATTTTTTTTGGTAGAAAACATTCAAATTGGACTTGGAGTTTGGGGGGAAACCACTTTTTGATGTCCCCTCCCACTTCCTTACTCTATCAAAGTTTCTTCATGAATATGCTCTACCTCAGGCTTTCTAAAATCTCATTTCACACTATTTGATACAGAAAACATGGACTCCTTAAAAAGCACAGTCACAAAGTAAGAAGGCCCACAGGTCAGGATATGCAGATGAGAATTCCTCCTCTGTAGCTCTGTAGTGAGTCAGCCCTCAGCGAAATGTTCCCACACAAACACCACAGCCTCAGACATCTGCATTACATCTTCCTTTCCAGCCGTATCTCTGCAGATTGAAGTTTTTTTACTGTCATTTTACTGTTTGGATCTCTACAGTAGGTGACATGGATGTGTTTGTGAAAACCTCTGACTGACATCTTCTCCTTGTGTGTTTCTGTGTGTGTTGTGTTTTTACAGGAGGAACACAAGGTTTGCATCCATCTTGCTTTTATTTCTCGCCGTCTTGTCATTAAAACTTCAATTTCTTTGATAGTTTCTGACCCGTCATGCAGCCGCTGACAGCTAACCTTTCTCCCTCAAGGTTTCTAACAATCTGCCTCAGGTCTTCTCACTTCAATACTTCTTTAACTCTGTGTTGCATTGTTTGTCTTGTTTCATTTCCCTGCAGCTCTCCTCTTCCTCTGACACTCATCCTCGGATGCTGTTATTCTCTCAACACGTTGCTTTAGCTGTTGTTTGTTGCCGACTGACAGCAGCAGAGCTGACGAGAAGTTGGTTGGCTCATGTCACTTTTGTCCTTGTCTTCTTCTTCTGTAACATTTCCCCTGTGACAGAAACAGTCATGCCCGACACACAGGGGTTTTCACAATATCAGATTTTTTAATCTTCAGATACAATTCAAGCAATATTGATACCAGTCTCGATAGCAGCAAAAATTCAAGATCTCGCCAACCAATATTGTGTCATTTTTTGCAGGCGAATTCATGCACACTGTCTGCAATGTTTCAGTTCCTTTAAAGAAAGCGAAGCAGGTTTCTAGTTCAGCCGTTAACTGCTGTGAAATGTCTCGCTCTATTACAAAAATCTCTATCTGAGTAGTTGGCATACCTGTGCTGTCAGGCGACAATGAAGAAAAAATACTGGTTGTTATGTTTATCTTGAGGATGTTTTGAGTTCTTTGCAGGATAGGAGCTTTTAAATGGTTTTAACGCTCGTTTTAAAATTTACAAATGCTGGATGAGTATTATCTCTGAAAAAGCTGGATCAAAGAGGACCAGTTTTTCTCCCCGCCTGTCTTACATCCACACATTGATAAAGAAACCATGCAGTATACCTAGTGCAACATAAGAGCTGCACATGGTTCACTGAGCTCCAGTCCAGGCTCTCTCAGCTCAGCCCTTATGGGGCCCACATGGACATGTTGGCGAGAAGACAGCGCCATGTCAAACCAATACGTTTCTCAAAAGCCTGAAAATATGCTCCTGCAAAAACCTCCCGTCCTTGTTTACAGACCGGGAGGGATTAAACGTGCAAAGTGGCTGACCCAAATTTTGCAACCTGTATGTTCTGATTAACTAAACGTTAATTTTATATACGCTGCAGATTTTACATCCTAATTGTAAAACCTGATGAGGATCTGAAGCTTAAATAATAATATAGATAGATAGATAGATATGTATAAAAAGAATACTTATTCATAAGCTATAGTTATTAGGGGTGTAACACAGTTCAGTTTGTACTGCGGTTTGGGGGTCACGGATGATATTGTCAGGAGGGTGAGCTGAGTGGAGCCGGGTGTGCCTCGTCTGCTGCTGAGAGGAGAAGCCAGCCACTCACATACCTGCAGGAGAAAGAGAACAGAGAGAGGAGGGGGAGAAAGAGAGATAACCTAAACAGAATCATCACACTCTTAGGGCTCAAATATACTCGTTTTGTCAACCATGCGTATGCGTAGACAAGCTGCTGCGTGTGTGTGTGAACGTAAATGTCCACACACTTGCCTTTGCCCTGAAAAACATGTTTTGTTGCTCTCTAAGGATAAAAAACATTGTTGATTTTGTACATAATATTTTATGCATGTTTTGAATCATTCTGTGATCAGATGAGGGTATACAACACAGTTGTTGCAGAATTGGTCTGTAATGCAGTCCAGATTAAATGTCTTCTTTTTCACTGGTTCGATCTCCACTCAGGAGTCTCTGTCTGTCTCGCTGTACATTAACTGGACCTTCAGGCAAAACCACAGCGTCTAACCCTCAGCTTTGTCATCTCATGATGCTGTTTCCATTGCATACGCTGCATGTCTTTACTCCGGGGGAGGTGGGGGGTGGGCCTTCGGATCTACTTCAGACCCTGCCCTTCTTTTTCTTCCCAAGCCTCTTCTTGGAGTCGATGATCTGCCGCTCCTCGGCCTTGACAGAGAAGCCGACCTCTTCCGTGTCTTTCTTGATAGCAGGCAGGTATTTTTTCCCCTGAAGCTTCTCGCGCAGGACCTCCAGCTTCAGCTTGCACACACCCAGCACCTCCAGAAAATACTCCAGAGACACCGTAACCCGTCTGTCCTCAGGTAGTTTAAGTCTGTCAGCGAGTCTCTCCGACCACACCCGGATGAAAACAATGGTTTTATCAAGCTGATTGGGGTGCTCTTTGCTGGCTTCAAAACGGCGCTGCTGAGCCTGCACACGCTGCTGAGCCTGCAGACGCTGCAGACGCTGCTGAACCTGCAGACGCTGCAGACGCTGCTCAGCCTGCAGACGCTGCGGAGCCTGCAGACGCTGCTGAGCCTGCAGACGCTGCTGAGCCTGCACACGCTGCTGAGCCTGCAGACGCTGCAGACGCTGCTGAACCTGCAGACGCTGCAGACGCTGCTCAGCCTGCAGACGCTGCGGAGCCTGCACACGCTGCTGAGCCTGCAGACGCTGCTGAGCCTGCAGACGCTGCTGAGCCTGCAGACGCTGCTGAGCCTGCAGACGCTGCTGAGCCTGCAGACGCTGCTGAGCCTGCAGACGCTGCTTGCAAACGTCCAGCATCTGTTTGTCCCTGCAGAGCTTAGCCGCTGTTCTTTCCTTCATGTCGTGAAAGTTTTGGTTTAGGCTCTCCCTCTCTTCCTTCAGTTGCTGCAGCACCTTCTCATTCTCCTCCTTCTCATTCATCAGGTGTTGCCTTCTGTCTTTCTGTGAGAAGTCCTGTAAACTGGTGATTCCGGTGGCCTCGTTAATGCGCTGAAAGGCCTGGTTCAAAGTGAATCTGGCTCTCTCTTCCTCGTCTGCCATCATGGTGCTGCTGCGCTGGGCCTGGCTGCTCAGCTCTTCTCTCTGCTTAGCTTCTCTCTGGGCCTTTTTACTGATTTCTTCAGCCTGGGCCTGGAGCTCCTTGAGCTGGTTCCTCTTGCTGACTTTAGTGCTCTCTGCCCTTATGAGCTTCTCGGTGTAATATAACTGCTTTAATTCAGCCTTTGAAGACCCTGGACTGCAACTCTTCAAGCTCTTTTCTGTCCTTCTGCTTCCATTTGTTCCCTCTTGGCCGGGTGACCCAGAGCCTCCTCCTGCAGCTGACTGACGGCTCTGTGCTCGGAGGCTTCGAGTCTCTCCACCAAAACGCACTCTTCCTCAATGCTGTGCACGCACTTCTTCAGCTCGGACAGATACTCGCAATCATCCTCTTGTTTCTGAGTTTGAACATCAACAGAGTGTGTTCCCCCTTGCTCCTGGCCCGGGGCGCTCGTCGACTGCATTTCTAGAACTTCTACACGAGTACACATACACACAGATATAACACGGATTTTAAATGTTCATCTCTATCCCTCAACAGCAGCCACATGGAGGGTTGTTTACCGAAAGGTCCAATATAGGAAAATAGTAATTCTCACATCTGTCTCATGCGACAGGTGCACAGGAGAGTTATGTGTCAAAAAAAGTGCACGCAAACCTCTGCACACATTTTTAACGTGCAGAAAAGCATTCATCGGCAATGCTTCAGCACTCGGCCTTAGAAAACTAATGAAGGCCTGGTGCCGAAACATGAATGAATTTTTCCACGTTGGACAGTGTGCAGAGTTTGCACGTTTGTCAAACAACAGCTGCATTCAGGAAGATAAAACACTTATCTATGGATCAGTTTGAAATGTTGCACAACATGCTGTGTTGTCTTTTTACCCAGTCAGATGGATATCAGACTCTGTGTTTACACAACAGACTCAAACTAAGACAGGCGCTAGCTGTTAGCTTAGCGGTTATCCTTGTAATATACCAATATATGGGGGATATATAATGCTGTTTTTTAAGTTTATAGGAGTTAAAAGTCGTCTCTGGATGGTGTGAAATTACCAACATCAGTGTTTGTCTTTGGTTTTATGTGCTTTACTTAATCCTTTCATGGTGGGCTGATGCATTTCTCTCTTTTCATGTACAGGGCAAAGAAGTCCAACTTTAACAAACTTCATTCAAACTATTAATTTCAACATCTCACTCCAATACCTAAGTATGTTTTCTCTTTTAGGACCACAACCGAGCTGAGTACGAGATCAAAGTCATGGAAAAGACGATGCGCCAGGAGAATTCTGAAAAGGTAAAAATGGATTTCATCAGTAAAATGTTTTGGCAGTGTGTTAGAACTTCTTACATGCAAATGCAGATGAAGGTCTTAAAAAGTACAAACGGGGAACCGGGGTTAAATTCCTGGTATTTATTCAATATTTGGTAGTTTTGAGCAGGGCTGAAGTTGTTTAAGAGATGTATGCAAAAAAAAATAGAAAAAAATATCAATCTGTTCTACTTTTATAGCAGTTTTTTGGAAGTGGACATATTTGTCCTTAGTGATTTAAGAGAGTAGTAAATTAAACTGAAGCTGGAGGGTTAACATTCTTCTAGTATTGCTCAAAACACTTTCACACTGCAGGTCACACCTACACGTTCACACACTGATGACATTCACACACTGCTATGTTAAGTGTCCATCAGTATTAACTAATCCCATTCATACTAATCCCATTCATACTAATCCCATTCATGCACTGCCGCCAAGGCAGCGAGAGCAACTGTCTTGCCCAAGGACACGTCAGACATGTGTCTGCTGGGGATCTAACCCCGGCCTTACGGTTGAGAGACGGACTCTACCACAGAGGCACAATACGATACGATGTGATGGGATACGACACACTTTACTGTCTCTTTGGGGAAGTTTGTCTCAGTATGGAAGTGCTGCTCACATTCTGCAGCCTGCACAGATTTATCAACAAATAAAAAACAATAAAAAACAATAAAATCAATCCAAATATCAGCAGAGAAGCACAAACAACATCCAGCATATTGCACCTCGAGTAACTTGTCACTTTGCATGTGAGACAGGTCAGACAATCCTCCCTGTGCCTGCCTGACGACACTATTACACATATTAACCATCATTACAATATTGCACAGAGCAAAGTGAAACATCGTCTTACAAGTCCATTTAAGGTTTGACAAATTGTGCCACAGCTGTATTGTCGTCAATCTTGCATTGCATCTTGGGTGGTGTAGTTCAGCGTTACCTCACATAGTATACTTCTCATTGTAAGAACAGCAGGAGAATGTAGAGACATGTCTTGATGTAAAAAAGAATTGACGTGTTCTGACGCCTGCAGACAAGACCTCTGAGTCAAGCATGTGGACAAGATGATTCCCCTTCTGCTATTGTTTTAGTACCAAGGTCACCTCTCACTCCTTATTAAATACAGAAGAGGAAGGACACACACACACACACACACACACACACACACACATACAGTCGCCCTGGCTCTCTGACCCAATTCTCAGTAGACTTGAATGTGACATGATGGCTCTGGGCGGAATTAGCTGTGCTCCAATGCGGCCACATAGAGTGCGTCTGTGTGTGTGTGTGTGTGTGTGTGTGTGTGTGTGTGTGTGTGTTTTTGGTGTGTGTGCTGTGTGCATCTGTGTGCCCAGAGCATTAGAAGCTTCTACGGACAGATAAACATGAGGCCGTGACACACACACCAACACACTCACAGGTCCAAAATACACAAGGCGGCGTTCATGTTTCTGATATTGTTGCACCTTATGACCTTCACATAACCCTGTGTTTTTGTGTGTGTGTGTGTGTGTGTGTGTGTGTGTATATGTGTGTGTGTCTGTGTGTTTCAGGCGGAGAAGGAGAAGCTGACATGCATGGACAGAATGCCGGCTTACCTGGTCGTTTTTTTCACGATGTGCTTAATGGTGAGTCTCCCTGCCGTCTTACATCATCAGCTTTTGTATTTTTTGACATTTGGAGGGATGACGTGTAAATTTGAATTCCCCTGAGTTCACTTTAGATTCAGACAAACACTACACACAGGGAGAGCAGGATTTTATTTTTTCAAACGTTTTCTATGAAAAAGCGACAGCGAATGTGAGAAAATGAAACACAGATTGTAAGGTTTCAGATACAGTGTGAGTGACACGAGTAGATTCTCTTGTTAGCTGACTCACCAATAATGGCCTGCTATCGTTTTGTTCTTCTTTGGTGATGAAAGCCATGATATAGAAACGTTAAATCAGGGTCTACTGAGATGTGTCTACCTGTTAAACTTGAAATTATCTTAAAAGGACTAAGGACATTAGCAGCACTTTGTTTCAGCTATCATTGTTTGTCTGAAACAGCTAACGGATATTATTAAAATCAAGACAAATCTCCACCTCTTCTCACTGTTCAAATTGAAGCCAAATTGCCCCACGTGATGCAGATTTGGAGCCAGAGTCTGCACGGTAGGGACCGACCAGCTGGTGTAGCTACGGTATTGACTTCCCAACCTGTTTTATCTGTAAAGAACAAAAGGTCCTATACCGATAAATCAGGTGGTTACAGTCCACACCAGAACAGATTCTTGTGTCAGTGTGAAGCAGACACTCCTGGTTATGAAATGTAATGACTCTTGTGTTTGTTATGTTTCCTATCAAGTCTCCCCTCAGACACAGGCCGTACATTTGTCAACCAAGCTGTCAATAACTTATTTTTATAACATCTAACAACTAATTTAAACTTCTCAGAAAAGTGAACACTTTGACCATTGTCTTATCTATAAACATGGTGGAGGCGGAGCTTATGACCTTTACTGTAACCAATCGGTAGGACGAGCTCCACATATTTTGTCTTCACTTCATCTTTTTATACAGTCAAAGGTTACAGCCAAAGATCAACCTCAGGTGTTTCAAAAATTAATAAAACACGGAAGTGCAAAAAACTGCAGTTCTTGGTGTGTCCACTTGAGGCTGGTAGCAAAAGCAAAGGAATCCCCATTAACACCTACGATAACCTGCCCATTTTAACAGCATGTTTACAGCCGGTACACTTCACATTTTAGCTCTTTCTTGATTGGTTAAAACTCAATCGGGGTAGTTTTGTTGTAGCTCACCCATTTTGTTGATATGTAGGCCTTCAATTTTGTATATATCTGCATACATTAAGGAGGGCCTGATTTCACTGCCAGCTGGTTGGTTGTAGCTGTTTTGTCAGGATGCTTAAGGCCTACCTCAGCTCCACCTCTTCACCTGCTGCTAGATTGATCAGATGTTATCTTGAGATAGAATTTCCGATATGAAGACTGTCATCAATTGGTTGCTCCAAAAAGCCTTTCAGAAACTGATTGTTGATATCACTGAGACTATTTCTACATCCAAGTCTGTGGTTACAGCTAATTAGTCACAGGAAAAAAAAAAGCACCAGTCGTATCCTCCAGTTCAACTTTTATACAAGCAGCTTTGTAAAAAGTTGAGGGATGAAGTCATATGAGGCTGCACTTGTTATTTCTGTGGTTGATCAGCATGTTTGTAGATACAGTTTGAATGTTAATGAGGCCGCCCTCCTTCCAACATACCGCAGTGCTTCAGCCAACAGATGCTACTAATGGATGTTTTCATAATTTCACTGACTTGCAAATGTGGAAAGCCGACCCTAATTAAGGTTTTCAAAATAAACAAGATTTTAAAATAAATTAGACATTGGTTGCAATCAAGATGGAATCCATTAAATCCAAGCCCTATTTATAAAACAACAAAAACAAGATAAATTTGTTTTAAGCTGAGTCGTCAAGTTTTGTTGCAAACACACGGAAAATACATCTCTTTTTAAGAAAGTCTTTGAATTTAAAGATCACATCTGCAACACTATCATGACAGCTGCTGTTCTGTATTACAATCAACCCGTCCTCTTTGTTGAAACGATTTTTGATTCTGAATTTGAAATTTCAAAGTCTATTCATGAATTAGTACATACTTCAGGATCTACTCCAGTCATCTGTGAGACTTGCTGAATTTCTTAATTCTTAACTCTTCAAGGATTAAAAACAATACGTCTAAAGTCACAATTTTAGTATTGAATGGGGGATTTTAACATAAGTCCCACCTATGGAAGGAAAGTAGCCATTCAAAGTCAAGAATTTTGGGGTGGCACCTGTGGTGGCCCATAAGATTTCAAGGGGGGCCCATGCCAGCCCTTGCCTCCTCCTCTGGACACGCCCCTGCAGGTGAGTGAAGGTGCAGGTCAGAACAGCTGTCTAATCGTTGTGTAAAACACCTGCATACATACGTCAAGTAAATAAACAGATATCCAGTGGACATTCAGCTCTTTACTAGACTGGAATCTTTTGCTTCTTTTTTTTCTATTTTTTCAGGTTTAAGTGCATGCAGTGCATTTTCAGTGTTTGAAGCCAGCAGCGTCTCTTGAAATATTTGCCTTTTTGTCCGTCAGATTAACAGCAGATTGTCAGATTGAGTGATGTCCCTCTTTTCTTCTTCTCAGATTGCCGTCACGTTTGTCATAGTCTTCGGAGTCATCCTGTACCGCATAAGCATCAAGGCAGCACTGCACATGAGCGGCTATCCTGCAGCTCGCGCCAACGTCAGAGCCACCGTCAAAACCACCGCCGCCATCATCAACCTCATCGTTATCATTATCTTAGACGAAATCTACGGCGCCATTGCCCGCTGGCTCACCACATTGGGTGAGGCTCATGTCTGTGTTAACCCTGTTTTCAGGGTTCCCTTACCAGGGTACAATGGTAGCCTATATTGCACATGTATTCTGCAGTAATCTTTATTTTTGTATAAATGCAGAATCTAAAGGTGCAAGACCTGAATGTGGTTTCGGAAGTGTTCTTTTTTATGATAGGAAGCTGAATAATATCATCCAATTAGAAAACTGTCAGTGTTGAGAGGGTAAAGGACAGGATTTGATCCATCATAATTCAATTCCAGATCCCATCAGCATTAATGTAACATAAGGTCACATATTATGCAAAATGCACTTCACCATGTTTCTCAAACATGTATCCCTAGCCCGTCTACAAACCCCCAATTATGAGAAAAGTCCATCCTCTCCGTCTTTTGCCTGCTCCACTTTTCAGAAAATGTGTGCTCAAACAGGCCGTTTGGAGATTTTCCCTTCATGACATCACAAAGGGCAGTAGCCCCTCCCCCAGGTGGGTGACACTCCCACAGCTAGGTGTTTGTTCTGTCCTCTGAGTCTGCCTTCTCACCGTATACAATAGGACATGGAGTGAGAAAGCCTGAGTACACCAAGCACTTCCAGAGAGGGGGCGTGGTCAGACACTGCTCATTTACATATTTAAAGGTACAGACACATGTTTTGAGGAGCTCTGAGACTTATTTACACTGGTTGAAGAGGAGGAGAATATGTGACCTTTAACTAATGTCTTTAAAAAGACATCTGCATGTAAAATAAACTAATTTAACTTCTGCAGTTTGGAAGCCAATCAGGGACATCAAATTACTTGATAGTGGAGGAGGATACATCTTCTGTAGAGTTGTATGTTTACAGGTTCACAATGTTTCAATGAGGAAGTGGAAGATAAAAACACATTTGAAATTTTAATCATGGATCTTTAACATGTTTGTGTAAAAAGTGCATCAGACCTGATGTAGTACTCTTTATATGCTATTAAGGTCAAGAGAAGTTTAATGCTTAAGAAAGGATTATTTGAAGCCTAATTGAGTCATTATTAAAATAATCTTTACATATACTTCGGCTTACAAATGAAAGTGGAATATATAAGCAATAAATCAGACCTTGACTAATTTCAGTTCACTCAATGGTTTGCCTTTTAATTAAGGTCGATGGGTTTGGCGGATTGATGATGTAATAGGCTGATGGCTTACAGCCACAGAGTCCTCTACCATCATAACTTGAGATTTCAAATGGCCCCCCATCTGTATCCGTGTATTGTTCTCTTTTTCTTCAGCTCAGCACCACACTTAACTTCAGTATCAGCCTGCATGAGTCCTTTGTTTTACCTTTAGGCACATTTTAATGGTATTCTTTGTCTTCTGCGATGTAAAAACATCAGATATTCTACACCGTCAGAGGAAGTTAGTGTGCCTCCTGCTCATTCTGTGTCATTAAACCTTGTCAAGATTTAAGACATCACCCAGCTCCACTTATCATCTGAAGAACTTTAGATTGCTGTTTTACTGTCTGGTTTGTTTGCACACTTAAAAACGATTTATTATGCCACTATTAAAGCACACTGTTCGATATTTTAAAGTTGAACAGACTCTTATTTAAAGGAAGAATGTGCAACATTTCACACATAAATACAGCAAACATCAAGTATATACTCTGTAAATGTCTCTCTGAGTCATGACTGTCTACATTGAGTGAGAAGCTGGAGTCTCCTGTTCACATCATGTTTAAATGGACGAGACGGCCTTTTGCATAAAAGCTGTTTAGTTAAGGACTAGAGAAAAAGAGAATAGCCTACGCACTGCTTATTTTGATGTCACCTAAGCATTTTTAGATCACGGTCATTCCGTGTCAAAGCTATGAGTTAACCAAAGTGTGCTAACATTAGCCTGCTAACACAACAATGCAGTCAATTTTGTCCCCTGCTTGTGCTTAATGGTGCTTAATTATGGTGTGTTCATAACTCCTGTGAATGCGAGTGTAGAGGGGTTGGAGGTGTGTCGCTGGAGGAGAGCGAGGCTTCAGTATGGAGGAGGTGTCACCAAACAGCAGTTTGTTTTGGTTTAATGCTGGTGCTCAAGGGCGACATCTACTGGATCAAAAAGTTGCACATTCTTTCTTTAAGTGGTTTCATTTAAATGCCTATTTTAAAACGAAGTACTCAAACTTCTCTGAAATTGTTGTCATTGTCATACTTTTACATCTCCTGCTTTTTAAAATAGAATAACTAATGAATGAATCCATGTGTGTGTGAGATACTGAAGTGACATGTCTGCTTTTTTTTTTTCAGAGGTTCCAAAGACAGACAAGAGCTTTGAAGAGCGCCTCATCTTCAAAACTTTCATCTTAAAGTTTGTGAATGCCTTCACTCCCATCGTCTATCTGGCCTTCTTCAGGGGCAGGTAAGCCCTCCTTACTGCTCGTTTTTATTTTCAAATATATTCATCAAACTTTTACTGTCATTATCGATTGAAAAACTTGTAAGTTCTGATGAAGAAGGGTGGTTATACACACATCATGGAAGGGGCAGGGGACCTGAACAGAGGTCTTCTTTCAGTGATGGTTTTTGAAATGTGAGGCCAGAATCATATATAGATTTACAGATGACAGGTCAAACTAATATGAAACGAGTGATGGCTGCTTGGGGAACAGCGACACAGAGTGTGCCTTTAGTTTAATGGAGCAGCTTCAGTGCTGTGTCCACTAGGAGGCCAGCGCCATGTACCACTCGTCTGTCGCACCGGTACCGCCCATCTTCCACAACCATGATGCATTTGTAAATTAATACCAATGGTCTTACTTTACAGTGACACTGACATAAATATATACATTTTTTGTCTTGACAACATATGTGCAACATAGTGGTGTTATTAAAGGAATGTATATACGTTTCTCTCATCAGTTTTTCATGTGTAATGACGTTTGTTTGGTGATGACAGTAAACACATTTCAGACATTACATTGTTACACCAGTAAACTCGTAGCAAAGCTAATCCCAGTTAACAATAAAAACAATCGCAGAAAGCTTTAGATCCCATGCAATCAGCTGTCCAAATGTAACGCTTGGCATAGACGTTAGGCTTCATGTATTGACCTGACATTTTTTTTTATTGTTAGATCTTAAAGAGTTAATTTAAAGAGGCAGGTAACAACATTTAGTAACTGAGCTAGGCCACAAACTGCTGACTTACAGCCAAGCGGCAACCTCTGACCTTGAAAAGTGAAGCCAATGAGGTAGTGCAAAATCCTGCAGTCAAAATAGGTCTGATTAGTTATTGTCATCATGGGCACAAACTGTACATGGGTAAAAAGAAAATGTAACTGCTCCGTTTTGATTTTGAGATATGTGTTATCTATAGTTAGGCACGTAGCTGACATGATTGACAGGTGGGCGTGATGTACCAGTTTATCAAGAGGTTTAAAACCCGCCTCAGCTCCAGCTCTCAGCCTGACGTTAGGTTGACTGAAAGTTAGGCTGAGACAGGATTTCCAGCTTGGCGGCTGCTGCTGATGAGCCTCCGGAACAGATGGCTGACGTCACTCAGGCTTCTTCCATTAATATTTTCAGTCTATGCTTACAGCACATGACGCTGCTCCCCAAGTGGTATGCCAGATGCCACTTTTCTATCTCGGCGCTACTGCACCTCAAGGTGGAAAACATTCATATAAAGCATCAAAACTCAGGGAAATTACAAGCAATTGGCATGCAATTATTTAAGCATATTAATACAAAAAACCGTCTTCCAAAAACATCAACGCCATTGATATTATGAACAAGTCCAAAACATTCAACATTGCATTGATCAAAAGAACACACATCTGTTGTGTTTGGCATTTTAGGTATTTAAAATGTTTAATATGTTACAGAAAATATTTTTGATAAAATCATTTCAACAAGAATACCTCATATTTTATCTGTCACAATTTGATCCAAAACACTGTGTTCAGTGTAAAGAGACGTTATCCTCCTGTGTACCATCTGCTCTCCTGATCTCCCTGCCTACTGCCATGTTGTGTTTGATTGACAGACTTGTCGGGCGCCCTGGAAACTACTTGTACGTCGTTGGGTCGTACAGAATGGAGGAGGTAATTCACACTTCACACAGTCATTTAAGATTCATCCTGTAATACTTTCTAAATGTCACCAAAGGTCAAAAAACCGCCAGAGTCCATGTTCCAATAGTTTCCCACTGATCAGGGGTCAGATTGTATTGATTGTATTTATTGATCATTGATGTGTAGAAATGGATGGTTTAGCGTTCTCTTGTTTCTTTAATGAAAAACAGCTCATGTCAGGGTCATTGGGGTGAAACTGTAGCTGCTGATGTCACTCACGAACAGAACAAACAGACACTTAGAGTATGTGGGGGAAAGATGTGTGAACACGCATCTATTTAAACCTGGGAGATGACCAATCAGATTTCAGTCTTAAAAATGTGTGTGATACATTTATACTTAGCCTTTGAGACTTTGGCTAAATAGGGTAGTTTCATTCATACTTTTTATTTATTTTTTTCCCCCTTCTGCTTTATTTGACTTTGCTCCCTCTCCCTCCCTGCAGTGTGCCCACGCAGGCTGCCTCATGGAGCTGTGCATCCAGTTGTGCATCACCATGCTGGGCAAGCAGCTCATCCAGAACAACTTGTTTGAGATCGGCATACCGTGAGTGCAGAGCATGTGCTGTGAGACTTGCTTTTCCATGACAGTAACACACAGAGGAGCCCCACACACACACACACACACACACACACACGAGCTAAACAGTTCACCAAAGATCACAATACAAGCACAGGCCTCAGGAAACCCTGCAGTATAGACAAATAATGCACGCCCACTCAGCTCGCCTTGGCCGGTTTTCAGACGCTCTTACCTGAGAACCAGACTGATGAACTCTGTCAGCCTGTAATTTCATCGTCACATTACACTCTGATAGGAGTTTCTAGGTTGGTTCTGCTTTTTGTTTGGTTTCCATTTTTTTTAAAACACAAGCATTCATAACTGTCTTTAAAATAATTGACAGATATCCAAAGCAGTGTTTTTATTTTATAAAGTAAGTTACCCTACTGGCATTAAATCACTGGCTTCAGTCAAGGTGTAGGTTTTTATATCATTTTTATCACCCTGTTAAAATCAGTGAGGGCAGATTGAACACAGTACTTGCCCTCCATCGCCCAAAATGGTTTTAAAATGATTCAACATCTTTTTCAAATCAGTTTGAGCAAAAACGAGTAATCAAAATCATCTTCAAGAAAGGCAGAACTTCTGTGAGAATGTGTGTGTTCATAAAGAGATTAGTTCAAAGAAAGAGAGAGCACCCTTTTTGTATGAATTAGGAAATAGGTAATTAGCAGTAAAGGCAAAAGTCGTCAAGCCGTCACCCAACTAAAATATTAAACAGATTGAGCTCGAAATAAAGTTAATAGCTCTGCAAAACATATCAACAGTAACAAATGTGTTTCAGCCTACTTCAAGAAAACAATATTATCTGTTTTATTTGTATCAAAACTGAGGTGTGCTAAATCATTTTGGGCAAAATAAACCCGGTCGGAGCCGTTCATGAACAACTGGTTGGTCCTCACAAATTATTTTTTGCACATGGATGCATGAGCTAAGTTTTTATTGCACCAAATACTTAATTTGTACAATTTGTTTTCCTCTACACCGTCTCAAAGAATGGGTATAATGCAAACCAGTTGTTAAAAACTGTAAAATGTATCACTCTGTGGGGTCTCTCACACTCTCAACATCTGATAAGATTTTAAATATCTTTCAGTGTAGGCCAGGCTTTGTTGGCACCCAGTCCTCCAAACAGTGAGTCATAGCACCGCTGCTTATCAGACACTTATGAAACAATTATAGAGAGAACTCCAGTCAGAGAACACTTAACAAAATCACATTAAGTAATCTTAAAGTTTAGCACTTAGGTAGCTGATTACTAACAAGTCTTTTAGGTATGACTCTTTAGGTATGCAACGCAAAACCGGCTTTGGTCCTGAGTGCTTTTTTCTTCTCTGTGGCGGCTGTGGCTCAGCTGGTAGACCTCTCTAGTCTCTCAACCACTAATTCGAGGGGGTTGGACCCCCAGCTCCTGCAGCTACATGTCTGATGTGTCCTTGGAAAATACACTTTACCCCACGTTGCTCCCGCTGCTTCGTCAATGGCATGAATGGGATTAGTAGCAGCCTCTACCATCAGTGTGTGGATGTGTAGGTGTGACCTGCAGTGTAAAAGCACTTTGAGCAGTCAAAAGACTAGAAAAGTGCTACACAAGCTCAAATCCATTTACCGTTTGTCTTTTGGTTTGCAGGAAGCTGAAGAAACTGATGCGGAGAAGGAAGTCAGATATGGACTCAAAAGAAGAGGAGGAGCAGAACAAAGCGCTGCAGCGCCACGAGAAAGACCACATCCTGGGTCCTTTTGTTGGCCTCAGCCCAGAGTACATGGAGATGAGTGAGTATGAACACAAAGACACAAATACACAACATGTACACAGCTGCTCTGGTGTTATTCTAGTCTGGGCAGGTTACTAACTTGGTTCAAGTTATTTTATTGTGTGTCTAAAAATGCAAACAGAGAAAGGTTGTGACTCTCCCCAGGAGCAGTTTATAGTTTCATCCTTGTTGCTGTAGCTCTTCCTCAGTAATGGATAGAAAAGGTTAACTTCCTCGTATGTGATGTGATGTGATGTCATCCACTCTAAAGACATATATCCTTAAGAAATGATCGTGCTCTGTGCCTTTTTATCACCTGAATCTTTGCAGAATGAGTCATGTTTAGGTCACAAGTAACACCCATAATGGCTCCAACCACTGAAACAACCACATCGCTCGGCTTCCTCATAGTCATCCGCTTTACTCTGCCTCTGTTTCTTTGCTTAATGTCAGACCTTCGCTTGAACCTGCAAATGTCAGCTCCCTTAAGTGCGATGTTAGCGTCATGCAAGGAATTAGCAAAAATATTCATCTGATAAAAACAGCTGAAATGAAAATGAATCTCCTCGTTCAGGGACGATGTTTTGACCTTTAATTTCCTGAAATCACATTCCCCAGAAGCCGAATGTCAACCAGTCATGTGGAAACATAGGCAATATCATATTTCATGTGTGCCGCAAGTTCCTGTGCATGTATGTGTGCTTAATAAAGATAAATAGATTAAAATGTCTGGCTTATAAAACGGCGGCTCAGAGCTTATGGTTATTGCGTCCCGGTAATTGCGCTATTGGGATGTGTGCATTATTAAGCAGTTGATCTGCACGTCCCAGTTGAGGGAAAGAGATCTTTATAGTGCGACTCGAGGAGGCTTATTATCCTGTTACCAAACATCACAATACCGCTGAGAGAGGATTAAAGCTCCTTCAAGCTCAACACTCTCATTCCTCTTTCTCCCTGATCAATATTTGGCCTTAAGAAAGAGTGTAAGCTCTACAGTAGCTGTCTGTTGTTTGAGTGTTGTGTATTTTCAGCAGCGTCCAGCGGAGTATAAAGGTCTCTGCTGGTCTGTCACTAAGACTCCGTTATCTGAAGTGCCTCCCCCACAATGAGCGTCCATGTCTTTCACTGTAGTCTTGATGCACACTGTACACTTTGCTGTTTATCATTTGGTGAGCTGTTCAACATCAGTGGAGCTTGTAAACAGAGAAAGACAGATAAAATCTCACTAGTGGTGCAATAGATCACAGCTGGTCTGTGATTCGTTCGATAAACGGGGGGGTTTATCGACCCAGTATAAAATAATCAATGTCGGCTAAAGTGTAAGAAGGCTGCGTTTAAGGTGCCATTGAGTTCTACTGTATAAATAAGAAGGCAATTCAGCCTTCAACTTAACAAACTTTTTTTTTTTGCTGTCTTTCATAAAGATATGAGCCGTAAAATCTTTCATTGTATATCAGAGGCTGCTTCAACTTCTCTCTGTTTAATCTCACTGTGTCTGAATACAAGTATCGGGTTTAGAAAATCACAAATTTAACCTTTGCAATGTTGGGGTTGTAGTCTGTAGCTTAAAACTAAGCCAAACAAAATCCATTACACAGCACTGTGTTCGTTCCCAAAATTGAAGATATATCCCTATAGACTCAAACAACACGTACTGCATGAGCAGCCAGTGCACACACACAACCACAAATATCCGCTTAATGAACGTTGTCATGTTGTGTTTAACATGTTTAAAGCTCATACAAGAAAAAACATTAGAATGTAGTTTTATGACCTGTGTGAGAAATACATTTATTTAATCCTGTTTAAGTAATTCAGATATTTTCACAGGTCAAAATTGAAAATGTTTTCCCCCTGAAAGCCTTCTAAAAAAGGACTTTTTGCATCAATGCACAATATGATCGATATTATGATGTACATGTGTTTGTTTGTGTAAATAATAATTATAATACAAATATTACATTAAACCAATATAGCGCTTTTATAATAAAGAAGCTGAAAAAATAATTATAACTAACATCAAAAACAATGTAAACAATACAAAGAAGAAATAATCTAAGAGAAGGATGAGAACACTCAGTGAGGGCTTTGGTGTCGATGTGGAGCTGAATGTCATCAGCAAAGCAGTGAAGATGAAGTCCATGTTTGTTGAGGAAATTACTAAGAACTTGACTTCACACAAGAAAGATTCAGGAGACTCATAAGGCTTATGTTGAAGAAAGTTTATACATACAAGAATGCTCCAGAGGAGAGATTTAGTAACAAAACACGTCAGGTGGGGTGTCTTGCCATGCCAATTCTGCCAAACACTTCCACAGGCTCTGCCTATATACAAAAGACGTTATTGATGCCAGGGTCATATTGACCCACCTAATCTAGTCTGTGATGGCTAGGACAATTTGGACGAGTCACTAAGTCTACCAAACATGCAGATATGAGGGACCCTTGACACACTCAGCTGTCCTTGCTTCTCTAGTCACAGTTGAACTCTATCAGGTCCGACTGACATCAGAAAACAGTGAATAGACAAAATGATGTCTTTACATTTAAATCTAAACAGGTACAGAAATTCCACCACAATGACGGCAGATTATGTGCCCAAGGGGGGAAGCATATACAGGTTGAAGACGAGGAGTCCGAGAACTGAACCTTGGGGAACACCTCGGGAGAGGGGAGCAGTGTGGGATTTACGATTGTTTATGCTGATGAACTTGTATCTGTCAGAGAGATTTGTGCCAGGAGAGTGCAGTGCCGGTGATGTTGAAAGTGGTTTCAAGGCGGGAGAGAAGCTTGGAATGGTTGATGGTGTCAAAAGCTGTTCCCCGTAAAGAAGTAATGTCTTATTCAATATGTGTCTATTCGGTGTAACACAGCTGAAAGTAAAGCAGGTCGCAAGCATCAGAGAGTTCCATTTCTCATGTGTTATTGATTCTTTCACCTTTAAAAGTAATGAGTATTGATTCATTCCCTTTCTCATTACTTCCATCAGTGATGAACATGTGTGATCAGTGGTGGAAAATGAACTTTAACGCCGCACTCATAGTCCTTTATTTTAAAAATTGATCAAAGGGGGACGTGTAATTTTCAAATGGACACTCCTCACATATTGATGCAAAGCATTATAACTATCTGTAATGGCTTCAAACAAAGTCAATTTGGTAAGCAATTGCTGAGCGGGTTTAACACGCTATCAAATAAAAACAAAAGGCAGCCGCGCATCCAAAGTCAACTTATAAGCTACATTTATTAATAGAAAACTTTTCAGCAAAAACTAAACTTCACAAAATAAAAAAAACAAATCAGATTGCTATATCACGTAGGCTATATCCTTTGTTGCCGTGGTATCTAAACAGGTCCTGGTATCGTTGGATTTTTACTGGTATTGTGTTGAAGTTTGGAATCAAGGTATACCTTGACAAGCTTAATGCTGAATACTAAGAAATAACATGAGGACAAGACTCTAAATCATCAAAGTGCATGTTCACGTACAGAGAAGAGCCTCTTACAACTCTGCATGTAGGAACAATTATACTTTGTTGGACCTAATTATAGGATTACGAAACACAATTAAATGTGAACTCTTCACTGCTAACAGAGGGTATTCATGCGCAGAGATAATGAATCCATAATCACTAGCTCTGTATTAATTACTTTGTTTCTTGTTAATTTCTTCACCAGAGAGCCGGAACGACCTCGTAAGTCCATGTAGGCAAAGTAAACTCTGATTAGAGATTCCTTGCACAACTCCACATGAATGCTAATGTTATATTCACCCTGCTTTCTTCATTTTACTCTGAAAGAGAGCATCATTTAGAAATTAAATCTCATGCTTTATTGAAGAAGACTCAGGATTATAAATCCTAAAGTCACAAAGAAGACACTCAGATTTAGATTATCTTTATTGTCCCACAAGGGGAGTTTTGTTTTGCAGCAGGAGCTCGCAGAAAGACAACAAACACAACCTCAACAGTAAAATCACACCCAAATAAAAACTGACTTAAACTTCAGTTATTATACAGCTGTGGTTAATACTTAATGACTGGCCAACTACACATAGCGGTCTGCTATCCCTCTATGGCACATCGTTCTTAAGAGAACAAACTGTTACTTAGGCAGGCAGTTCAGACTCTGGAGGACTTATTGTTTTAATACTCAGCAGAAGAAGTCTGGTTAATTTGACTTTGGTCTTTATACTGTAGGAAAAGGAAAAATGAGATTAAAAAGAAGCTAAATATTAGCACCTACCTTCTGTGGTTTTAATCTTTAGGTACCATAGACTGCATAAAATATGGACGTAGTATCAGTGATGTCAAGCATTGGTTTCTAGATGAATGTTTTAAAGATGAATGTTGGAACTGCTATACAGAATATAAAGGAGGCGGGCCCTGAGCCTACTGGCAAACTGCTCCAACACGCCTTCCTGTGAGTCCATTCAGACCGGCCTGTAATCACCCAAAATCCTGCATAACTCCTACCCTCAATAAAATCAATATTATAAAAAAAATCCTCTTCAATAAGATTTTTACCAACAAAGACATGAGCTATTCAGAGTAAAACACTTGTTGCACCAGGCTGTAAAAATGGGCATTTTAACATTTGACCTATAATGGGGGTTCTTTGGCTTTTACACACAGCCTCAAGTGGACACTTGAGGAACTTAATTTTTTTGGCACTTCCACATCGGCTTCACTTTTCAGCCGAGGTTGCTGCTTGATAAGAACTAACCATATGTGTTATACCGATACGAAAGCATCAGGTTGCTGATATAGAAGTGCTGAGGAGAAGATTTTGTTCTTGTCTAATTCTTGAAATTCATCTTATCTCATATATTTCTTTCATACAGTATTTTTCATATTAACAGAATATGTGTAGCTTTTGTCAAATGTCCATAAAGAATAGATTTCTGTACAATAATGTCTAATGTCAGTTTCAGCTTTTGAAGTATAGTTTGTTCATCTTGTAACTTCTGATCATTTGTCTTGTTTCTCTCTTTCTTTAGTCATCCAGTTTGGGATGGTGACTCTTTTCGTGGCCTCCTTCCCTTTGGCGCCGCTCTTCGCACTTCTGAATAACATCATCGAGATCCGCCTGGACGCCAAGAAGTTTGTGATGGAGCTGCGAAGGCCGATAGCAGCTAAAGCCAGAGACATTGGTAGGAGTTTGAATCCCCGCAGAAAAACAAAACAAAACAATAACCTTCATGCTCTGTTTTTTCCCCCTCCATATTTAAATCTGCAGCGTCTTCATTATGAGACGACGAAGCAATTAGCTTTGATCTTTTTATTGTTCAAAGGTCTACACCTCACTGCGTGGCTGTGCATTTTTAATATTTACTCTCTCTATCGTCTCTTCCTAACAAGAATTGTTCTCGTATAAACTTTGAAAGCTGTTTTTTGCAAATGAATTGTAGATGGGGGAATGTCATCTGTGACCCAAACCGGTGCATGCACACATAAAGTAATTTAGATTTTGTTTTGATACAGCCACGCCACAGGAACAGTTCCTTCCCCTCTGCTGTCAGCCTCATCAATAATGTCTCCCCCCCCCGGCATAACACAGACTCAGCCCCACAGTCAGAGAACATTACAGTAATCTGAAGGCTGAATCTATGCATCACATTAACGCACACTGGAATTAATGTTTTCTGCTTACACTGCACGCAGTCTTCAACATACCTGCACAGTTCCTCCATCGCTTATTTTGTACGTTTTATGTTTTTATATTTCATATTCTATAATACGTTTTCTAATAGACTTTATATTTGTACCTTATTCCTATTTAAGTTGTCAGCAGGAGCTCTGCTGTTTTTATATTTCCTAACTTTTGCACCAAAACATCAAATCATAGTATGTGTAAATGTACTTATAATGTAATAAACACAGATTCTGATTCTGATTAAATGAGTGAATCTAAGCTTTAATTGATGGTGCTAACAAAATGACACAGTTTTCCATAATAATTCAGAAAAAAAACAGGTCGAATAAAAGCACCAAACTCCTCACTTTAGCTTAGCTAGCGTACAGTGTAACTGACCCAACCTGTTGATGGAGGTTTGCTGTTTCATTGCTGTGATTGGTTTGTGTCACTCTGGCAAACATGGTAGGAGCATCACCCTTATTATTGACGGCTGATAGGCCTATCTTACTGTTTCATATTTGAGGGGGATGGGACATCTGTGTGCATTTATATTTGTACAGTCTGTGAACTTCCTGGTGAGCTACAATCCAGAAGAGATGAACTACATGTTGTCACTTACAGACAAATTATTTGAGGTGTTTACCATCAGGTCCATGCTTGTTTCGTTCAGTGGGGCGGGCAGGACAATCACGCCCTTAACGCCACAATGAACTCTGTGTAAATCCCACAGGAGAGTACAATGTGTAGTTTAGCATTAAAATATCTGAATGAGAGCCCCATGCACCTCATGAAGTGTCAGTGGGACAGCACTGAACACACACTTCCTGGGAATGGACCTCAAAGTGTGTGAGTCTGTGAGTGTGGATATTGGGATCGAGCAGATATGCAGGGAAGTCTTTCTGCCTTTCCTGCAGACGGTGTGTGCCATCTTGTGGCTGTTCGGGGAACTTACTGCCCTTATTTGGTATTCACATGTTGATGTCAGTGTGTTTTCCTTAATGACGGTTCCTCTGCTTGCAGGTATCTGGTACAACCTCTTGAGAGGCCTCAGCAAAGTAGCAGTCATCGTTAATGTAAGTCCTCATAGTACAAATGTTCTTTCTGAACATGCCGGGGCCTGTCAGAGAAATGCTCCCACACATAGCTGACTGATGGAAATCACTATGAAGGTTTAGTCTCACCTTGTGGAGTTGTTTTATTCTGTGAGTTAAGAAACCATGAAGAAGTCGTGGTTTAACCTCATTATGAAATGAACCTTTCTCTGCCCTCAGGCCTTCGTCATCTCCTTCACCTCTGACTTCATCCCCCGGCTCGTCTATCAGTACGTGTACAGTCCTGACGGCACCATGCACGGCTTCGTCAACCACACGCTGTCCTACTTCAACGTCAGCGACTTCCAGCCAGGCACAGACCCGCTCATGCCGATGCACCTGGGCTACAAGGTAGACATATGCAGGTAAGGTGTCACTTTATTTTTTTTCAGTCTGGAGTCTGCTATGAGCGGAGACATTCATTTAAATATTTAAAACAGACCTCTTCAGTAAAATACTTTTAAAAAAAGTTATATCTCTTTAATTTGTAATTATTTAATTGCATATACTTCGATGTAGTGTCATTGATATTTAAACCATTTGTATTATTTATTAGATAAGTGTTATGGTCTGTATATAATGTCGGTATACCTTGGAGTGCAATATAAAAGAAATGTCAACAGAAAATCCATTATAAATTATATTACTATGTATTTAAACATAGAAAGTAAATATGGATTTTCATTAATATGATTTTGTCTTTTTTTTTATATATTTCTATTTATTTATTTTATTTTAATTTATTTAATGTCATTGCAAACCTGCAGAAAAAGCCGACATAGTGAGCTTATTATAATAATAATAATAATAAATTAGATTTATATAGCGCTTTTCTAAATACTTATTGACGACTTCAATCAATAGACTAAAAAAGGAAACAAAGAATAATTATTTAAAATTCTTATATTTGTAGTTTTTGTTGTTAATTTTCATATTGATCAAATTTACTGAACATTTCAACATTGTTTCTTTTTCTGCTTGTGTAATGTTTTATATTTTTCTCCTTCTCCTTTCTTTAAACTGATTGTTTTTAAGGTTTCTTTAGTCATACAATATTTCTAAATGAATCATGTGTGTTGACTGTGTTTCTCCTTCTGTCTGCAGATATAAGGACTACAGAGAGCCTCCTGGGTCCAGCACACAGTACGAACTCTCCAAGGAGTTTTGGGCCATTCTGGCTGCACGCCTCACGTTTGTCATCGTCTTTCAGGTTTGTAACAAATATGATATGTTCTGTGTGTTTTCAAATTGGCGTGTCATCCTATCTGTCATTTCTATTTTACATAAGGTGAGCAAAAAGATGTGCAGACACAACTTTCATATTAAAAGTATTCATGGACTCTGAGCAAAATCTGAGGTCCAAAAACACTTATAATAAATAAAAACACAACTGAACCATTTGAGACATCATTTAAAGCCATGAGTCAGAGACACAACTAAGAACGTTCATTAAAATATATATATTATATATACATATGTGTATATATATGTGTATATATATGTATGTGTATATATATATATATATATATATATATATATATATATATATATCTGACTGCTGCTGGAAAAAAGGACCTCCTGAGTCGTTCAGTGGAACACTGAGGCATCACTAGTCGCTCACTGAAGGAGCTTCAGAGTCCATTAAAAACACTGTGTAAAGGATTGCCTTCAAAGATCAGTTTTAGTTTAGTCCTCATTCTCTTATCGAAGGAAACCTCAAATGAGTCTGCGGTAATACCAGTCACAGAGTCAGCCTGTTTGATCAGCTTATTCATTATTTTTTTCATTATTCTACAATTCTACAATTCACTTAGCAGACGCTTTTATCCAAAGCGACGTACATCAGAGAGTAAGAACAACACAAGCAAGGATCTAGAAAAAAGGGAACAATGTGAGTAAGAGCAAACGATCAGCTTTGAGTCTGATTGGACACACAGGTGCTGACAGGAAGTGACCAGAGGCAAAGCACAACATTGAGGGCAGTTCTTGAGAGCTCTAATCAGTATAGAAACCATCTTATAAGTCATTGTTATCAAACAAAAACCATCGTCACAACCATCATCATCATCAATAATATGGAGACCATCATCATTAAGTTAGTAGGTATTCATGAAAGAGCTGGGTCTTTAGCTTTTTCTTAAAGGTACAGAGGGACTCTGCAGATCGAATGGAGTTTGGAAGTTCATTCCACCACCGGGGGGCGACAGAGGAGAAGAGTCTAGTCAGAGACCTAGGACCCTGTTGTGAATGTTGGATCAGACACCTTTCATTGGCAGAGCGTAGAGGGGGGGAGGGAGTGTAGACCTGGATCAGAGAGTTAAAGTAAGGAGGAGACGTTTTTGTCGCTGTTTTGTAAGCGAGCAGCATCCACAAAGATGCTGCCCCACAAACACAGCAGAGCATAAAAGAGGACACTTCGCCAAAATTCCCTGATTTAAAAAAAAAAAAAAAAAATGTATAGAAGGTTCTTACTAATGTCAAATATTTGAAGCTTCCTTAAGAAGTAGAGTCTTGACTGTGCCTTCTTGAAAACAACATCAGTGTTCTTTTTCCACTTCAATTTACTATCCATGAAGACATCAAGATATTTGTTAAACTGAACAATTTTGATCTGTTGACCCTTAATGATCACACATATGTGTTGTAGTCTTTCTTGACTGTGTCAGTGAATGTGTTGTTGTTGTTGTTCCCTGTGTGCTGCGCAGAACGTGGTGATGCTCATGAGCGACTTTGTGGACTGGCTCATCCCGGACATCCCCAAGGACATCAGCCTCCAGATGCACAAGGAGAAGATCCTCATGGTGGAGCTCTTCATGAAAGAGGAGCAGGGCAAGAGGCTGGCAGCGCGGGACAACCACAACCAGGACAGCTACACCTCCCCGTCGTCGGCCTATCAGAGCCCGCCGCAGCCCCGCTCACGGCCCGTGTCGTACGCAAACTACTCTTAAACCGCCGGGCTGCTGGTACTCTGAGAAAACAAGCACAAAAAGCAACAAGCAGACGCGACACATGTATACAAAGTGTAAATATGTCAACCGGCTGATTTAATATAGGTGTTTAAGGTTTAGAGAGTTAACTAAATAATCAGCAACGCTTTGCTGCTTTTACGCGGTTTTGGGAACCCGACGCTCAAAATCTAAACTTTGACATGTTGACTCCTTCACCATAGAGACTGCTTGTTTTCCTCTTTTTAAACCTTTTACAGTGTCAAGATGTTACATTTTACAGCGAGCCGCACGTTGCATAGTCAGCCATTAACCAAAAACGCCAGCAGATATTTAGACGATATTCAAAAGATTTACGATCATTACACATTATTTATTGGATGTATTCGAAAAGGAACAAGCCATTTAGTTTCATTTAGCTCGAGGGAATTACCGTGTTGACGAGATCTTCATTCAGGACGTCTGACAAAGCAGTGCCAAACCTTCATGGGAATCATTTTGTTTCAAGCAGTGAGTTCATCCCTGCAGCTCTTTCCCCATGAAACATGAATCCAGGATGTCTTCTGTCAATCCGTCCCGATGCTCCTGCTGAGAAGACTGTCCTGGAGGTATCTCACTGCAGAGACATGCACACACAGAGATCATCCCTCCTGCCGTCAGTGTGTGAAAAACCCAGATTGGACTTTTGTTGTTTGGCTTTGCACAATTATATACAAATGTAGGAATTTATCGATGTACTTTAAAAAAAATAATGCAACATGGTCAGGCACATGTGGTCCGGTTGCTGGGATCAAAATCAAGGTTTTGGAAAACCGTCTGTGTCAAGCGACCTGTTGATTTGTACGATTCTCTCGTTTGAGCACAGTATTGCTCATTGTTACATTTGTTACGCTTTGAGTACGAACAAACTGCCTAACAGCGCTCAGTGCCGTTACTACTCCTGGAAGCACAAGTCACATTTTTTATTCCTTCCAATGAACTGGAATTTGTAAAGCTTAAATTGGTGAGATTTACAGTGTAAACACAACATGATGTCATGCTCCACCTGCCCCGAACAGAGATGCTGAACTGTAGATACTTTAAATCCACTTCACCCTTATATCTGTTAAAACTTTCAGAGTTGTTTATTACAGCTGATTTTTGAGCCACTTGGGGGCAGCAAACAAATGACAAACTGAAAACACAAAATAGATATACATCAAACTAACGGGAACATAAACTAATTAATTTTCCCTGTTTCTGCTTATTCAGTCCAGTATTTAATATTCTACTCTATCTTTCTCATGGCTCTTCGATCTCCTTTTTAACTTAATTTGTCTGCTGTTCACTGTTGAGAAGTTTTAAGTACACTCATGCTGTGTCCCAAAATCACACACTATACTCACTATATAGTGCTCAATATATGAAACACTATGTTGTATTGCTGTAAAAAGTATGAGAAAGCATTATTAAACCCTACATAGTGGATTCAGTGCATCTGACGGCCACCAACAAAGCAATATACACAGTACCATCATGCATCACAGTGCAAAGCTTTCGCTCGCAGGAAGAGACGTGTGACGGCCCTGAGCAGTGGCGATTCTAGAGTCTGGTGTGGCCCTAGGCAAAAATGTATTGGGGGCCCTCCAACCAACGTTCATCATTATTTCTGCCAGCCGACGCTCTTTTCTATAGAAAGCTAATTACTGTTTATTTTACTTCAGTAAAATGGAGGTTTCCTACTGTCATTGCAAAATTTGCAAATTTGGAGCCACTGCTTTGGTTTGTTTGTGAGCCTTCAGGGGCCCCCTACGGGTCTGGGGCCCCAAGCAGTTGCCTGCCTTGCCTGTTGACAAACAGCCGTGGCAGACCATTAGTCTCTATAGAAAATCAACAAATCTCAAAAATAACAGAGTTGTGGAAGTGTTTCATTATTTAGTTAAAATCACAGAACTTTATATTTAATATTTTAAATAAACACAAGGCACCCTAATGAAAGGAAAGGTGCTCAGTGAAGCCATCCCTCATCCTAATTATGCTACTATGCCCTACTGATGAGTTTCATAACCTACCTGTACCCTATGGCCCTTCAACATCACCCAGGCTGTGATGTGAGCTCCAGGTAGTGAAAATGCTAAAACTACCTTCCCTACTACACGGCCTCACGTGGCCCCCACTACCCAACCGTGTAGGCTGATGGACAGCAGGAACCTAGTGTCTAGTGGGAAACTCCCTTTACTGGTTAGTCCCAATGACACCTCAGGGACACAGGACAGTGAGCTCCAAGATCCCAGAGTCACCCCACTCTATGCCGGCTCTCACCACCCACCACACCCACACGTACAACTTCTCTCTCTAAATATATATATTTATTTATTTTTTTCTAAAGATTTATTTTGGGCTTCTTGTGTCTTTTATTGGAGAGATAGGACAGTGGATAGAGTCAGAAAACCGGGAGAGAGAGAGAGAGAGAGTGGGGAATGACATGCAGGAAAAGGAGCCACGGGTGGGATTCAAACCCAGTCTGCCCGCTTGGAGGACTATAGCCTCATAAACATGATTCCAAACTAATGGTTATGTTTCTATCCAAGTGGATGTTTTCATCATTTGAACTAAAAACATGACGATATGGCTGTTTTGTGGTTTCAGTTCATCGGCTGCCCCCCCTCTGTTGACAAAAATCAGATCATGCAGGTTTCAATGACGGCAAGAAAGACTCCAAAGAGACTCAGGCTTTTCAAACTCTCAGTGTGTTGGGGATAATTAAGCTGTGTTATCACCCTGCGGATGGGTTTTCATTTGACCAAATCCTAGTGATTCGTGACAGATTTTTTTCTTTAGTCACTTTTTCACAACCTATTGCCAACATTGGCTCATACAGCCTGGAGGTTCACTGTTTCAAGCTCCTGTGAGGAGCTTTTAAAGGGGTTATGAAACAGACCAAAAGGATTTCTGTCGCCTCTTAATGAGCAACGAAAGTAAACAAGACCATCAGCAAAATGGTTGAGTATTTCGTTATAGTAATTTGACATTGATGAAACTGCCGCGGCTTGGTAGGTGTCAGACGAGGAGATTGAGAGATACATTTGACTGTTCAAGAAGGCAGGGGGAGATTTTTTGTCTTTTAACACTATTTACCCAAATACAGGACAAAAACTAAAACTTTATACAATGTACCACTTTGTCTACAGGGGGCGCCAAAATCAACCCAAACCTCAGGGGAGCTTTAAACACTTGGTCATGTTGTTACTCAGCTTCATTGTTAAAAGTAAAAATATTTTTAATCATGCAGCAATTCGCAATGCAAGCTATCTAGTTAGCTTAGACGGTTAGACTTAATTGAATACGCTGTACATTTAAGGTGAGGATGCATTTAGTTTCGGTGTAAGTATTTTAAACACGATGTCTGTCTCATGCAAGCGGTACAAAATGTTGCTCAAGGACACAAAGGTGGGAGTTGATGGGAGAGGAGACACAATACTGACTCTGTTTACCTGCCTTGCTATTTTCCAGCTCACAGAGAAATTCAAACCCTCACCTTTGTGAAACCAACAACGGCTCATTTGAGATTTCCTTTTCTGCAGTTTTTCGTACAAAGGGCGCCAAAACGGAAAGGCCGCACTGTGTTAATATTATATTGCCTTATATTTGATTACCAGGATTACCAGGCTGAATTCTGAAGCTATACTCAAGCACAAAGACTGACAAATACTTTGTTTTTTTTGTATTTTATGTATGAAACTGCAAAAACACTTGTGGGAGTCACTGGGTATCACTTTGAGGAATGTAAATGTACTGTGGACTGAGGTGTGGAGTCATGTGTACAGTCTACGCTCGTCGACGTGTCCCATCCTACGCCCTTGCTGTAAATACATCAAACGACCCCGCGTTGAAGCCCCGCACCCAGACTGATGGAATGTATCCTTACATTTAAAGTTTCAGTGACGTTTTATCACTTGAGATCAAGTTGTATATCAATCAATCAATCAATTTTTATTTGTATAGCGTCAACTCATTATCTCGAGACACTTTACAAAGAGCAGGTAAAAGACCTTACTCATTGTTATGTTACAAAAGAGCAGGTAAAATACCTTACTCATTGTTATGTTACAAAAGAGCAGGTAAAAGACCTTACTTATTGTTATGTTACAAAAAGCAGGTAAAAGACCTCACTCATTGTTATGTTACAAAAGAGCAGGTAAAAAGACCTTACTTATTGTTATGTTACAAAGACCTGGCCTATCCATCATGAGCACTTTAGCAAAGCAGCAAAAGTTACAGTGGTAAGAAAAAACTGCCTCATTAAAAGGCAGAAATCTTCAGCTGGATCCTCGGCTCATGACGAAACAGTCTTCACAGGCCTAGACTGCGCCGGGCTTGGAAGGGGAGAGATGGGATAAGATGCAGGAAGAGGGATAGGGAGCAAGGGGGTGGGGGGAGGCAAGCCACCCATCAACAATCCGGTGGGGAGGGGGGTTGTTCTGGCATATATATATATATATATATGTGTGTGTTTTTGTTCTTTTATTACAAGGCATTACAAGTGTTAGTCTGGTGTGTTGAACGGGTTTTATATTCAGGGGATCTATCAATAACACTCTATGATTGCTTTGATTTTAAATCCTTATTTAATGTATAAGAAACTATTACTATGGACCTATTTTGCTGTATCTTTAAGGATGCCTGGAAAATAAAACCTTTGAGTGACAGCCTCTAAAGACATTTTACACAAAAGAGGTACTTCTTTCTGGGAAATGACATAACCCTTAATTTTTTCTTCTTTTTTTTTTTCTCGCAAAAACTGCACATTTAGTTTTTTCTTTAATTCTGTTACTGATGTGTATGTTAGTAGGGTTAGTGTTGGTTTTCAGTGATAGATTACAAGCTGCCGCGGGGCTGCAAGAGCCTGTTTTAGCTAGAAGATCTTTTGCCTCTTATAACCTGATGTCACATGATGAAGACCGTCACTCGATCGTCTTGATGAGATGTCCTTCTCCTGCCGTCTGATTCCATGTTGCATCTGCAGCAATCAATAAAACAATACAAGTTGTGACATGCTAATTTTTAATGTATGTCTTAGCACATTTCACAATGTGTGTGTGTGTGTATATGCATGTATAAGCGATTTGTCTGTCTGATATTTTGAGTCTATTTTTGTTTTGGTTTGAATCTACTGCAAATAAATTAGAGATGGACTGCCCGATGTTGATGCATTCATTGAACATTTGTACATTTAAACAACTGAAGTGCAAGATACATGAGGTTGGTGTTTGTTGTTGTCAAATCACACCTTTTGATAATCTGCTGGTTCTTTTTGTTTGTGCTGGAAGCTTGAACACATGCAGAGATTGCATGACACAAACAAAGAAAAACAAATCTGGCATGAGTAATTCTGCCTTGAAGACGCTCTGAGACATCTGTTCAGTTTTTAGCAGCAGGTCAGTTATGAGGACACGCTGACTTTTAAGTACAGGTAAGGTGAGGAAACCTTATTAAGCACGTTTGAAACCGAGCTGATTCAAAGTAACACGGTCATAGAAAAGCATTGAAAGGATATTTAAAAGCAATGAACCAGAGAAATTGTGCCCCGCTGACCAGCCGCCAAATAACAAGAACTCATTAATTATCGGAGGAAAATGGGGTAAATAAAATGTTTTGATGCATGTCCACTAAGTGCTTCTGTAACCTTCTGAAGCTGTTCTCAAATGCACCCCTGAAAAGAATGTTTTGTCTTTATATCTATGCTAAGTTCACTTTGGTCATGTGCATACAGTCTATGGTCAAGGGCCAATCACAGGATATATATGACCCTAAGCTTGCTCGCAGTGAATTTTCACGGCGCCCAGATTTCATACTGAAAATGTACTAGGGGACTGGAAAGAAAAGGTCTGGTTAAATTCAGAGTGAAAAATGTGGCTGTTTGTGTTCACACATGCAGCTCGCCCCAAAAACTTTAGGAAGTTTTAAGGTATTTTCAGCAAGCGTGAAAGCAATAATAAATAATGGCGATGCACAGGGCCAAGAATTTTAAGTTAACCACTTAAAAAAATAAAAATAAAAAAATAAATTAACAATCTCAACACTTTAAGAAAAAAGTACCAACACATAGACAAAATAAATTGCCTAAACTTTTATTTTTTAGGTAAAATCTTGTGGCTCTTGTTACCCCGGTCTCCCCTACTGAGCACAGTCCCAGATGTCAGATCATTGACTTTGGTTCAGGCAACACACAAAAAAAGGGTTCTCATTAGTTTTAGTTTAAATTGCGGATTCACTTCACCAGCTCCTCGCAATAAGCCCCGAGTCAGAATGTTGGCCACTACCTCCTCAGGAATCTCACATAGACCTGTCAGCAAACTGAGACAAACACACGGAAGTGAAAGTAAAAAGTATTTCCTGGACTGGTCTGTCGGGGCGGATCGTCGTGTCGGTGCAGGTTCCTCTCTGTGTCTGAAGAAATGAGCTCTTTGCAGTTTAACGCCGTTTTACTCGACATTTCTAACAGCCTGTCGGCCTCGGAGCTGGAACAAATCAAGTATTTGTGTAAGGATGATATCGGGAAGAGAGACCTGGAGAAGATCGACAGCGGGTTGAAACTGTTTCAGTTGCTGACTCAGAGAAACAAACTGGGAGCAGACAACACGGAGCATGTCTGCGGGCTTCTCCGGACTATTCAACGACCCGACCTCTCCGAGAAACTCCAAAACTTTGACTGTGAGCGTGAAAACAGCGAGAACCAGCCGCCTGAGCCGGAGAGAGGTATGAAGTATTAATATATATGAGCATGTAGCGCTGTTAGGCCACCAGGCGGCGCTGCTTATTCAGATCAGTGTTTCATAAGCAACGCAACCACCACTGTAAAACAAAATCAAACACTATATATGTTATTTAAATAAGGAATAAGCCTAAGCTCATAATTTATTAATAAAAACACCACAAATTGCAGCCTTCACATGATGCCTGCCTACAGTGAATGTGTCCAGTAGTGTGAACACAGACTGACCAATAGATACTTTTTAACAGATTACTTTTTGCTCGGGACCCCCAAAGAACTGTGGGCCCCTGCTGTCCCTCTGTATTTCTATAATATTTAGTTGTTTATTGACTTGAAAGGCTATGTTATCTTCATGTATAAACTGTGGGACTGAGTGGACATACAACATTTAATTGACACAGGAGATGTCAGTGTGTTATATTTTAGAAAGCAACGCTACATTAACGCGGTTATGTGCTAAATTAAAGATAAAGATAAACTTTATTGATCCCCCATGGGGGAATTTTTTTTTGGCACAACAGCTCAAGAAACAGGAATATAATTATCAAAAATAACAAGAAGTTAAAAATCAAACACATGTACATCAGTTAAATAAAGGGAGAAAAAATACAATAATAATAAAATAAAAAAAATAAAAAATAATTTCAGCATAACTCTTACTTAACGACTACACTTGTAATTTTAACAACTTTTTGTATTTATTTTCAGAATAATGGGCAAAATATGCAATTTTAAGTCATTAAAAAACAAAATTTTTAGTTATGAAAGGCATCTCCTGTACCAATACCATATATATATATATATATAGAGAGAGAGAGAGAGAGAGAGAGAGAGAGAGAGAGAGAGAGAGAGAGAGAGAAATTTATAGTTTAATCAGAAGTGTACTGGATTTTGCCGTCTTTAAAGGGTGGGCTTTGATGAAGTTGGGGCTCAAGACAAAATTCTCCCCAAAAAGACTTTTAAGAAAAAGTTAAGGGTCACTCAAACAACCAATATCAGATATGCTGAGTGCTATTTGTAGTCCATAGGTTTTGTCATATTTTTCCCATCATGCAACTCAAATTGTCAGCTTGAGACAGATGACATCATTATGACATCATGAACGTTATTTTCTAAAACTACATTAAGCTCCTTTTGGAGTCCCCCAGGATATCGTACAGTTTTTTTTTTAACAGCTGCAGCTGAACGCCTCATGAAGAGATGTCACAGTCCATCAGTCCTTCCTGAGAATCCTGTTTTCCTGAGTCTTGATGACTTTTAATTAGCACACACTGAACTGCATTTTGAGAAACCAGCATCTCTGAACATGTCGTGGCATGTTCTCTCTGGGAACAGCCAACCTGAGGAGTGATGGTATTTAATAAAGCGGGTGTTTTTCCATGCTGAAATGATGCACTACAGGAACCTGGAGTTGTCTAACTGGAACAGAACTGTGTGGATTAAATACACAACAAGCAACATTATTACTTTGGAAAAAGGCGTAAATGTTCGAGGACAGATTTGTTTGGTTAGGAACCTTAAACATATGATGCTGCATAACTCGGGGACAGACAAGTCAAAGAGAACAGCTGGATTATAAACAACAAGCAGAAGAAACATTATTGAGCCTTATAAATGTCTCTCCTGGCCTTATGAGGCTGTTTGAATAGTTGTGTTTCTAATAAAGAAATGTTGTATTAACTGTAATTGGTTATCTGATTATTCTTACATTTTCTAAACCCACATTTTCTCCTCCTCTTCCTGCAGAAAAACTGGGCATTGCCACGGAGTTTATCTCAGAGAGTCTGGGAAGAGGTTGGCGTAAACTGGGCCGCAAACTGGGACTGAAAGAAACAAAGTTGGAGTCCATCTCCCTGAGGCATCCCACAGACCTGGAGGAGACGACGGTGGAGATGCTGAAGGAATGGAGGAAGAGTCGTGGAGCCGAGGCCCGAACAGACGATCTTATAAAAGCTCTGAGAGCCTGCGGGTTGAACCTAACTGCCGATAAAATCGAGGAGAAACTCAAACTGACATGTCAGTGAAGGATGATGTGAGCTGGGGTTTTAGTAATTCAGCTACAACAGAGTTGTATTCAGATCTTTCAAATAATGCCAAAAAAATGTTGTGGATAAATCAACTTCCTGATTGTAGAGCTGCACAAGTATGACAGTGAGAGCGAGTGTTGAATGTACTGATCTAAAAAAATGTTTTGATGTTTTTGTTTGAAGATGAAAAATAAGGGAATGAACTTGAATTCTGTTGATTAAAAATGAAAAAGAAACCAAAGAGCCTTTTTCAAGTGGAACAAGCATTACAGACATGTTTGTGATATTTTATCAACACCTCACCTTTGACCTCTTTAATATTGATTTGTAAAATGGGCTTCTGGGTTCATACTTTTTTATTCAAGTCATCATTTGTTGCTTAAATTAATCTCAAAAATGGGTGCAGTGATTTCAAAATTCACAATATAACTGATTTTACAAGGCAAAATGAAATCGACTCACACTTTAGATCAGAACAGCTGAGCAGCAGTGTTGGTCTCCAGACCGCTTTCTGAAGGTCTCGTCCTCCACTCTGAATCGAAAGCATTCTTGTCTCGGTCTCAGACTGGGCGAACTCCAGATTTTAAACTGAGACCGGTCAAGACCACTGAGAGGCTGTTTTTTTTGTGATTAGAAATAAAACACCTCTTTCAAAAAGAACAAATAACTTCTATTCTTTTCATGATTTGATATTTATCCCCCCGGTTACAGCAGCAACCTTCCCGATGTTAAAGTCACGCCCCCTGGAGGACGTGTGTGTCGCGTCTGGAAGTTGTGCTAAAACAAAAAGTGGTTTTCTAACAGAAAAGTGAAGCACTGAGGATTTTCTCTAAACTCTTACTCTGACGTTGTTATTGAGGTTGTTTTTTCCAAACTGGTGCAAATGACCCCGTCTGAAGCGAGACGGTTTCTCAATGAAGGGGCGGAGTTAGCTGGCATCTCCCTTTAATGTCATCAGAGCCATTACTTCACTGCTGTGGTTCAAGTTTTCAAGTGAAGTGGTACATGAATGTGTTTTGATGCTGAGTAGTGTTTCTGTATTTCTGTATGCAACACTACGGATCCCCTGAAATCCAAAAAATGCTGAGTGTTAACTACTTGAGCGAACAAGTTACTTTTTGGGACTTCAGGTGCTCCTTACAATACCACAACTCAAAGGTCCGGAGGTTTTTATTCAATCAGTGGAAACATGAAAGTATGTATTGCAGTGATTATTTCTGGGAAATCAGGTATTTGCTATGTGGTGGAGAGTGAAATGTATTTAATGTTTACTATATCAGGCATAAACAACAGCAAATATTATATTTTTCTTGGACAAATACATCAATACTGAGCTTTGGACAGAGCGGCTGGCTTCACTTCCAAATACAGCTAATTGGCTGCTGATTCTGAGTTCTTTTTTTACAGAGCATTTTTATTTTTTTAAAAGGTATTAATCCTCACATCTAACTTTCAGCCAGAAAATCAAAAAATCTTTCTTATTTTTCAAGTTTAATCAAGTAATCAAAGTTATTTCCATTCATGGTTGTTTTTTGTGATGTGAAAATCAAACTAACTGATTAAAAATGATGTTTCTCATTACGTCCGTCATAAAACAGGCAGGCAGCTTTTGAAGTTTGCAGCTTTATTTTGAAAGGACAACACAAACTGCCATCCACCCGAAAAACTCATCGTCTCCGTCATCAGCCGACGATGACATCATCAGGCAGGCAGGTCAAAGGTCACGTGCTGTTTCTGCAGAAAGAGAAAAATCATTGAAGAGACAGAGGGTTAGGGACAACATTCACAGTCTTTTTTCTCTGCAAATATGTCTTTGAATGTTTATCTATGACTACTATGGCAATGACAACAGAGTGGCATGACATCCCCAACAATACATACAGCACTTGTACAGCCTGTTCAGCCTGTCAATGTCGTTCTGGCTCATCTGGGTGGCCGTGCCGAAGGCCACATTGTTGTTTGGAATGGGCAGCATGGTGGGACGGTTGTTCTTGGAGAAGGCGTACCTGAGTGAATCAGACACCACAATGCACAGAGATGAGTTTAAGTTTGATAACCGGGATGGAAACTATCCCTGATTTATTTATTTTTTATTTTATTTATTTTTATATACTTTATTAATCCCTGAGGGAAATTCACTGATATTAAGAGACATGTTTTTCACACTTAAAGGCTCGAAATACACACATGCACAAACAGGACTTGTGGACATGCACTACACACTGCTACAGAGGGAGCGTGCAGGGTTCAGTGCCTCGGCAGTACTCAGGAAGTGACCTGGCACTTCTCCAGATACCAGACCAACTTCGGCATCGGGACTTGAACAAACAACCCTCCAGTTCCCAACCCAAGTCCCTACAGCCTGAGCTTCTGCCACCGCTGATGGATCAGGATTGAAAGTCGATTTAGGGGGCGCCAGTAGCCTGGTGGTTAGTTTGCATGCCCAATGTACAGAGGCTGTGGTCCTCAAGGCCTGGTCTCTGACTCTGTATATCCTACCTATCTCTAAATAAAGGCATAAAAAAAAGCTAAAAAAATAAGCGTTTAAAAGTGGATTTAGGTTAGTAATGATACTTCACAAGAGTCACATAAAAACTCTTCTAAAGGTCAGATAATGAATTTGTTAGCTCTGATTTTGCTGAGCTATTAGACTGTAAATAAGAGGGGCACTTAGTCATCCTGATATCACTCATTGTTGTGTTTTATACTGTCCAAAGCCTTGAGTTAAAAAATTATAGCCATCCTGATTATTATTTTTTTATCAAGTAGTTACACTATTTAGATTACAGCGTAAACATACATTCCTTTTTCTTGTTTTGGTCAACAGGTATCCATGGTAACAAACAAACATTTAAGACCACAAAAACAAGTTGAAACAATAGTTTGTCTAATGTTTGAAATCTACAGAGAAGTAGGCTCATTCTGTGGAAGTCTTCCATACAGACTTTGTGGTGGCTTCTACTGACTTTACTATTCAAAACAAAAAGGCTCAGTCCACTTCCTGTTCACAGTCTACATCTGAGCCTGGAGTTCGGCCTGCTAGTAGTAGAAGTAGAAGATGTACTCTTCTGTGATGGTCATCAGATACTTCTAAAGAAACACTGAATAATTTAGATGGGGAAATATGAGTAAAAATACAAAAATAAAAACATCCATACTTCTCATACTGCATGACAGAGTTGTAGTCATAAGGAGTTCCCTGGTTCAGAGTGTTGATCTTGTCGAAGTTGTACGCCATGCCTGCAGAGATAAGAGAAAATGCACAAACCACAAAGTGTTCAGTTCAGAGCCAAGTGAGAAGAAAAGACAGACAGAGAAAAGAAAAGAGCCAGCAGCACTCATACTGTTTTTTTTTACAACCTCTACATTCATGTAACAACTTAGTGAGAGTGTCGAACCATCGATGATGTTCTCCCAGTACACCTTGATGTGGCTGTCTCTGTCAGATCTGGTCTGCTCGTGGTTGAAGCCGAGGGCGTGGAGCAGCTCGTGCTGGACGGTGCTGTGGTACAGACAGCCCTGACGGCTCAGAGACACAGTCTGACCGCCACCCTGACGGCCCACGTAGGAGTAGCAGCTGTTCACACATCAAGAAGAATATATTAGATATCACTATTAAAAAGAGAAGTTTCGTTTTCCATCCCTTAGATTTTATTAGTTTTTATTTAATTAAAGCATAAGAGATAATAATGTAACGATAGACTCAAGTCAAGATACTATACATCACAATACTGAGTTCATCACACTTTTCATCATGAAATTAAATCTTCATGATTAAATTGAAGTCAAAATCCTCACTTGTTTTCACCTTTTCTGTACCAAAGATTGTAAATATTAATGGACGAAGCCTGAGTGACGTCACCCATCTGTTACTGCAGGGGGCGTCAGAAGCCCGTCGGTGACGCTCGCCATGTTAGAAATGCTGTCTCAACCTAATTTACAGTCAATTTTACGTCAGACTAAGAATGCGCTCACACAAGGATAAGTTGTCCCGTACCGTGCTCAAGCACTCCCCTGCTGGCCTGCACTCACACTGCTGCAGAACTAACCGGGCCTGAGCACGGTAACTTTATCTGTTACCACGGTTACATAACGTCGTAGAACAACACATAGCACGGCTTTATGTAGTTCTGAAGCGTGCTTAGTTTACAAGACAGGGCTCAAAAAATATAATAATAAAAATAAAAGGGGCGTGCTGCTGAGTCTGCGTCCGCACATCGGAGAACATCACAGAGAATATGACAGCTACTTTACTGATTTTTGTCAGATAGAGTCATAACACTCCTGGATTTCACGATAATGAAGGCGGTCCATGCTGTGTAACCATGCTTGTGTTCGTGCATTAACTGTACCATGTTGAAACACACATCTTCCAAGCCTGAGGCACGGGTCGGAGCACTCACACCAGTCAAACAAACTGGAATTTAGGGGTGGAGCGCGCTTAGGCACGGTATGGATTGCCTAGTGTGAGTGTGCCCTGAGAGCTGGAGCTGAGCTGGGTTTTAAGCTTCTTGACAAACTGTCAATCAGGTCAGCTAATGCGTCTCACTGTTAACAACTCTTATCCTTAAAAAATCAAAACAGATGAGTTTTCAGAAAATCAACCCCCCACCCCCACCCCCCAGTACAATGTGTGCTGACAAGTCTCGGTGGCCTGGTGGCTTGTTGACCTCAGGCGAGCGGCCCGGTTCAAGTCAAGCCTGTGGCATGTTCCCCTGCTCTCTCCCTGATTGCCAACTCTGTCCACTGTCGTCTCTCAGGTAAAGGCATAAAAATGACTGAGTAATCCATGAAACTTTGCTCAAATCTTTCCTGTGAGTTGTGAACCCTCGGCCAGAGCCTTACCCGTCCCTGGACTCGATGCTCAGCCACTCATAATCTCCATTCTGGTAGGGTCTGAGGCGAATGCAGGAAACTGCAGAGAAGGACTCCAGTCCACGCTTGATGATGGAAATCTCTCTGGAGGCTGGAATAAAAAAAAGAGAGAGAATCAGTAGCAGTGCTGCTTTTTCAAACAGCATTGTAACCTTAGCTCACGGTGGAATTACACTATGCACTGCAGTTTTATACTTTGAGTCAGAACAAGAGTTGTTTGTTTTAATAATGCTTAACCTGCAGTTCAGCATTAAACTCTTTCTTTCTTTTTAAAGATACTTTTTGGGCTTATGTAGAGAGAACAGTGGATAATGTAGGAACCCGAGAGTGAAAATACAAGATCTGGAAAGATATGAATCTTCTCACTTTATCCAGAGATGGCTCCAAAATCAAGACCACCTGAAAGTTCCTCACAGGAGCTTTAATAATGAATTGACAACCTCCACTTTATTTATTTAGACCCTGAGGTAAAAATGCCTCTCTAAAAGTCCCTGTTAATTAAACTGTGAATTATATCTAAATATTTAGAAATCCAATCAACACATTGAAAACAAACCTGAGCGAAATGTCTCTATTCAGATAAAACAGACACAAAAATGAAACTGAATGCTTACAGTAGTGGTTGGCGATGTAGTAAGGGATGTAAACCTTCCCATCGGTGTACTTCTGCCACAGGCAGCCTCTGGAGGTGCAGGGGTCGGCGTTTCTGTCAGCGCCAGGCTTGATGGCGATGTCTCCTCCGATCAGGGTGGGCTCATCAGGACCAGGATCTGCAACACCAGCACAGGTGGGCTTAGTTCAAACAACAGCTATAATAGAACTGTGTGTCGTTTAGGAATTATTGTTGGTGCAAAGACATCATCATACGATCAGGTTTGACCCCGACAGCTCAGGATTGGTTAGTGGATGAATAATCTTGATAAAGTTAGGAGAGCTCGACTCACGGCGGTCTCTGTTGGCTCTCTCGAGCAGTTCACCAACAGAAAGCTCCCTGGATGTGTCCTCCTCAATGGTGGCAACATCTGTGAAACACATTGAGTGAAGTGCACACTTTGAGTTTAATGTTCTCGCATACAGTCAGTCAGTCATTATCAGTAAACAGAGACGCTTAATTCTTTTGGGAAATACATAGGCTATATTGTTTTTATCTTAACTGAGAGATTATATTTCATGTTGTATAAAGAGGGGATATAACATTTTGGTCTTACCTTCCTGTATTCGTCCACAGTGACATGGGGAAAAAAAACAGCAAAATGTTATGAACAGAATATAAACAAGCACTGGATGACTTAAAGCTCAGTTTTAAAAACCTGCAAGAAACTTTCAGTTTGTGTCCATTTTGGCGCCTCCTGCAGACCAAGTGCATCTAGCTTCTCCTGAACATATTTAAGTTCTGTTTTCTGACAAAAAAATATCATTGTGCTTTGGTGTAAGAGTCAACTGTTGAATAATTATACTGTGTTGAAAAAAATGATTTTTTTCCACATGCTGTAAAACCTCTTGTCTGGCACCTACAACCAAACTTTGGTTACAGGCTGATAAAAACTAAAATACAGAAACAATGAATCTAGTCATTTGTTGTCAAGGCATTTGTTTAGATCACAGTCCGTTACATAACCAGACACAGATAAAAGTAGGGATGTGCACGATTTGTGGTTTAGAGGGTTAAAATGAACCCTTGCCAGTCGGCACCAGAATTACTAGTCTTATAAACTAATCATCAATATTTTCATGACTTCAAGCCGGTCAAATGCTATGTCCAAACTGAAGCCTAGTACTAGTCTGGACTTTAGTTCAGGGCAATGGCTAACACCAGACAGCCACAATGCTCTTCTGTGAACAAGCACAGTGGACAGATCTCGTGGGAGCTTCAGGGATTGTCGGTATTTTGATCTAGAAAATGGAGATAAAGTCGTATGTGGGCTGTCAAGGTAAACTGGCATATTGACCAAATAAATGTTTTACCACATTTAGCATAGGCATCTGCATGTTAACCTAGGGTGACCATTATTGTCAAACTCAAAATAAGGACACTTTAATTTTACCACAAACCCACATATGAGCTCATGGAACAGTTGGACGTTTTATCAGTAAATCTTTCAACACCATGGAGAGTACCTCAGCAGATTAAACAATCATGTCTCCCAAGATCAACCACAACTTAATTAGAAAAAATGTTGATATATAACACAACATGTTCCTTTATGTATTACTGGATCGGTGACCTGCACTGCTCACACGAGGTGGTAGGCAAAGGTGCCCTCCTCAGCAGCTTGTTTAAGTTAGTTGTCATCGACATACTGGGTACCGGGACATATTAATGTTTTATAAATATTTGTGGGGACTCGGGACATGGAGCTTGAAAACGGGATGGTTCCCGTCCAATCGGGACTCATGGTCACCCTACCTTAACCTGCAGGGAAGATTGAAGGCTGCAGTGCTAATGCTAACCACACTCTACAAACCAATAAGACATTGTTTACCTGCAGACTCTGTGGATCTGTTATTAGCAGTGTTAAATAAATTGTGCTCAATGCTGGCTGCTTCCTGAGGGGTTTCTTTACTTTAGACTTGACAGTTAAACTGAATTGAACTTGTGTTTAACCAACTTTGAAATAAATAATTAAATTAAAAGATTTAACATCCCAAGAGAAATCATGAAACATTCAAAACACAGTTCACAGAAACAGTAAAGTAAGCAGAGTTTCAACAAGTTGAGGCATAATTACCAAACAGGTTAGTCTTTAAGTGATTTTTAAATCATCTACAGATTCAGTAGATTGCAAGAGTATGAGTTTTAGGAGCTACGGCCTGATAAGCTCTATCGCCACAGGTTTTCAGATGTGTACGAGGAACAGAAAGAAACTGTGGTGTGTTTGACCGAAGGGGTTTTGGATTGCCTGACAGGGTTGAATGATGACAGCCACATAATGGGGCCTGACCATGTAGGGATCTGTACATGAAAATTATCATTTTAACTGGGGGCCAGTGAAAGGATTTAAGTATGGGAGTGATGTGATGTACTAATGAGTATCTAGAGGCAGCAGAAAGTGGTATGAAAAAAAATCTAATTGTATTCCCTTCATAGCTGTTTTGAGGATGTAATTAACATTTCCTAAATGTTCTCTGGGGCTCTCTACGGCTCAAACTCCAATCAATTAAAAGTTTCAAGCTTCATTCCAAGCAAAGCTTTTGATATCTTCTCATTCTGACATACATTTGAGATTTCAAAGATTAAAAGGGATAGTTGATTTTTAAAGTTATATTTGTAAGGTATTTGTTTATGTAAAGTCAGTGTATTAGCCACATGAGATATCGATCAGCTCGGCCCTTTTATTGAGAAACCTCGGCTGGATTGATCAAATTTATTGTGTTAAAATTAAACTCTTACAGAACTCTTACAATTAAGAGTTCTGGGTTGTGTTTATTACAAATGCTTTCATTGTAATAACAATAAAAATGTGATTAAAGCAACAATAATGGAAATTTGGCTTTGTGCGCTCTGGCACCCAGTAAAGGTCTCTGAGTGCAACAGCACTGTCATAAGAAACACAGTGCTGTTAGGCCTCTTAGATAACGTGCATTTGTTTACAAGCAGAGGGTGTGAAGCCGAGACATGTCAGCAGAGAAGGTTCAGTAATTTTATCTGATTATGCTCAAATATGACTCTGCAATTGTCTTCATCCCATTGTTTGCAAACTGTTTGCATGTGTATTCAACTTTTGCCAAGATATCTATGGGCTGTGACTAAAGGGCTAAATTGGTCCCAACCTCTAAGCTAACTTGAAGATTTGCAAGGAAAGAGACAACTTTTTGGCATGTGACGTATTCATTTATTTATTTCTATGCAAACCTGAGACATAACTTGGGCTCGTTGACTTTCTGCACCCGGTAAAGCGGCTGTCAACTGTGACACCGATAACGATACAGCCTAAGGTTGCATCAAAACGCACTGAGAGGGGCTAACTGGCTTCTTTTTATAACTGAAGGCTTGTGTGTGAACTAATGCCTTAAAGCTGTATGCACTTCTTGCGAGATGACCTCTTGCGTTGTGCTGTTTAATCAAGCTTTCAAACTACTTTTTTAAGGTGGAAACGAGCCTAATTCTGGAGATTTTACCTCAGCCCAGGACGAGGACACCAGCAGCAGAGCCAAAAGAGAAAACACCAACATGGCTGCAACAGACCTGCATCAAGAAGAGAGAAATACGAGTGTTTATATCGACACATGCAAAATGTCGATGAGACATGCCAAACTAGGGCTTAATATATCACCTCAAACAATGACGTGTTTGTTAGGGATGAAGTGCTTAGTGCCAGAGTAGGACAGAGTTCTTACCTGAGAGCCTGAAGAGAGAATGATCATCTTACTGCATCCCAGTGAGACTTTTTATATCGTCCAAGAACAAGCAAACAACGTTATATCAAAATGTGCAAACAGCCGCCTTTATCACTGTAAATGGAAAGTTGCAACATGTGTGAAACACGGCATCTGTCACCACTGTATATGTGTGTGTGTGTGTGTGTGTGTGAGAGAGAGAGAGAGAGAGAGAGAGAGAGAGAGAGAATATGGGTAACAGTGTGTGTTCACTATGCAACGCTTTAGGAAGTTTTATGCTGGTGATTGTTGAACACCAATTAATACCCGTTTATACATTACATTAACATCCAGATTGGGTGATCTGATAAAAAGTTAATAGCAATAATGCAAAAAGCTTAATGCATACTGTGGACGGATTGAGACCAGACAGCTCAGACCACATTCAGAGGTGATCTGGCACCCATTTATCCAGACTGACTTAGTATTGGAGACACTCATGCATCCTGTGCAGTGTTAAGGACCAACCCATCAACTGGGGGAGCAATGCTGCCTCCTGCTGGGTGTACACAATAATTCATTCAGTCTTAAACGGAAAGGCGCTTATTTACATGCGAGGCTGGCAAGTGAGATCAGAATTCAAGTGCTCAAAGACGACGCATTGTTAATGCAAAGTGTTAACACGTATTCTTAAGTTCTATCCACTTTTATCAGATTACTCTGATGGATTTTAATGCAAGGTGTTAACTGGAAAAAAAAGTAAGTAAAATACAAAGATTGTCAATATATTGGAAACATCATGTAGAGTACCTTGTTTTCTGTATGTTTTATATTTACTATTATTATTATTTATTATATTGTGTCACCTCCTAGGATGGCCAAATGCCAAGATTAAAAAAAGAAAGAAAAGAAACAGAACATGACCTCAGTGTCCTCAGTGTTAGATAAAAACCTGCCAAAGAGGAGGTTACACAAGTTTTATCAAACGACCCATGCTGATCAAACTTAATCACAAGAGCTCTAAAGTTTTCTTAACAGAAGTTTTATCATGACTCTGAAGCTGATTTATGATTTAACAAAAAAAGGACCAAGATAGAAATGACAGAATATTAAATTGCATTTTCTTCCTAGTTGCTGCACTACGATGGTTCTGCGTGTCACAGAAGCATTTTCACACTCTAAGATCGTGTTGGTGTGCTGTCATCGACTCTGAGTTTGAAACATCTGTCACTCTGTCTGAGAGAAAAAAACTCTCCTCTGCTCTTATCAGTGTGGGACATTCAACACACTTTCACAAACACCCACTGTGGGTAACACCCACTGTGACAAGGCCAGGCAGTCATGTAGGGACTGTTTTAACACATTTAATATACCACAAACAGTATGTCAATAAATACAACGAAATGCAGGATGCTTTGGATGTAACTCATTTTAAATTAATAACACGTCTTATAAACTACATACATCTGTTACTTTGCAGTAGATGGACAAAAAAACTGTAACTTTTGTTTTTAGCCACCTGGCTAGTTGGATGCCAATTAACTACCGTCACTTGTTATCAGTCTTAAAACAGCTGTTTAAAACATTACTTTTTTAGGGAACACAGCCCCCTCTTAGTGACATCCCGACCGGGTTGATGCAACCCCCATCCCCCACACTTTGAAGAGCCGCACTTAAATCATTAAATCATGCATAAATAATCGCAACACATGTAAAAAAAATACTTGTGAGTTCATGGCTTTTCCTACTGAGGCAGAGTGCAGGAAGATTGCGGAGGACTTAAAGACCACGTGGGCTTTCCCTAATTGCGTTGGTGCACTGGACGGAAAGCATGTGGTAATTGAGGCACCTCCACGTAGCGGCTCCCTCTATTACAATCATAAGGGGACGTTCTCCATTGTGCTGTTGGCTGTGGTGGATGCCCGGTATCGCTTCAGGGTGGTTGACATTGGTGCCCCTCTACCTGGAGCAGAGCACCTGGGGCCCATTCCTCATGTGTTTCTGGCGGACGAGGCATTCCCGTTGAGGAGAAGTCTCCTCCTCCACTCCTACCCTGGGAACACTGTGGGGGAAAAGCGTGTCTTTAATTACCGTCTCTCTCACGGCAGGAGAATGGTAGAGTGTGTCTTCGGCATTCTAGCAACCCAGTGGAGGATTTACCGGAGGGTGCTTGGTGTGTCAGCGCAGGTAGCCGAGACAGTCATCGAAGCAACATGCATCCTTCATAACTTTCTGGGTGATGAAGCTGGAGCACCGACTGGTCCTGCAGAACCATCTGCTGCAATTCAAAATGTTGCCAGGGTTGGCAGCAACAATGCCAGCAGAGAGGCCATCACTGTGAGGAGCCAATTCACAGCTGGCCAAGTCCCCTGGCAGAACCACCTGTACATGTAAGCACACTGTAAGATGCTTTTTGAGCTGTGAGCTAGACAAGCTTTGACTAAGTATAGAGTATATACACGATATCGAAGTCATAACTGGGTTTGTAAGGATGAAACCGGTACAACAGCAATTACTAATTACTAAACATGAAATGAGTGATTACACTAACAAAACTCTAGAGATCAGTGAAAGTGAAAATGTGTTGTTTTGTTTCTACAGGTGATGGTCATCTGGCGCCCCCTTGTGACCTTTAGTGGTCACTATAGATGAAGAGGAGAAGCGGTTCCCTTGGAGACTTTTTAGATCCAGGGTTTTTAATCTATATTTCAGACAGTATTTTAGTCTGTTTTTAAAATCTTTTTCTCCGTAAAAAGAATTTGTAAATTATTTTAATTACTTGAGAATATTTGTTTACAATCAGTTCTCTCATCAATTTTTTGTAAATACAAAATTATCAATTCTCAATTTTTCTCTGTAAATAGACCTGGAATTACAGCATGTGTAAAGCTTACTTTGTGTATAGAATTGTCTGTTATTAAAATGTTATATGACAACTTAACAAAGCTTTGGGATCTTTTTCGGAAAATGTTTGATTTTATGATGCGCACAATCATTTTACAGAAGACGTGAAGTATTCCTTTGAGTTTCTACAGAGAGTGGTGATGAAGATCGAAGCAGAACAAGCCTCTGCCCGAGTACACGGGTTAAAAAACAGAATCCTGAGGTACAAACGGAAACATCGGTTTCTCATCTGGAAAGAGTTCCTGTCAAGAATTTTGCTCCTTTTTTTTTTAGGGCAGCTTCGGTGACTATTTTGTTTTAAATTTCTTAATGTGGTCTCACTTCCACACACATCTGTTTCTCTTTAGAGAAATGCTTTACTGTGGCTTTTAGCCACATGTCATCTGCAATAAGTGTATTGGTAGGATTTAAAAGGCTGTAAGCGGAGGCAAGTGTTGAAATGAATGTTTCTGAAGAGATGAGTTGTATGTTTATTGTGAAACTGGTAAACTTGTAGTTATAAGTCAAGATAAGGGATACAAATTTAAAACTTTAGTCTACTTAGTTTGAAAACGTAAGTTCAATTGTTGCTTTAAAAACACAAGTTAACAGAACTGAAAAAGGCAATTGGTATGAATATGGTTAAGTTACCTTAACTTGGAGATGTGAGTTAAAATAGTATGCAATTGATTTGACAACAGAAAGCTAGTTTTCCTGTACAGATTAAGTGTCATAGTTAGTTGTTTTAACTTAACTTTAAATTATTATTAATTAACTTAACTTTGTGAGTTGAAATAAAAATCCTATGTTGCTTTGACAAGAGAAAGCAAGTCTTCTTGAATGGATTATGTATGATAGTTAGTCGTTTTAACTCGGAGTATCAAGTTCAAAAAATATATTTTCATAAATCAAACGACTTCTACAACTTAACATTGAAATGAAACAAAGTTTATCTTGAAGTTGAGTTAACTCGTGTTTTTATGTTGAACCACCTTGATAATTTTTTACAGTGTATAGGTACTTATATTCTAGTCTTTGTACAACGGACACCGTAAAAACATTTGAGTGTAAAGGTTAGAAGAGGGACAATCTTATCTTAATAACTTAACTGTACAACAACTTACAGCTGCAGAAAACAACTCTATATGCAGGAATATAATGTTTCAGATTTTTTATTTATTTCATGTTACTTCAATTGACATTCACAAAAATATTGAGTAAATTTCAAAGCTTTGAAATCAAGTAAAAGAAACCATGAATGAGTAGATTTACTTAATATTTTCAATCATGTATGCATGAATTGATTTAGTAAAATTACAAAAACATTTTTTGTAAATTTAATTGAAATACTCTATAAAACGTATAGAAAATATGAGCAGAAAGCACTGAAGAAAATGAGTAGATATAAGTGAAACCATTAGGAGGATATAACTAAATACTTCCCGGTTATTTACTTGAAAAAATAAATTGTATTCATTTAAAAAATGTCTTGTGCGCACTTGTTTTTTAAAAACTTAAAATACTACATTCTATAAGAGCATATTACTTAAAGATGTCAAACTTAAACCTAAAAAATAATAAGCATGACCAAGATCTCAATAAACATGAATGTTTTATTTTAATACAGTTTCCCCAGCAGTAAGTCATTTTTTCCACATAAAATACTTTCCTGCATCAGATTTGAGGTATTCAAATGAAAACTGCTTATTTCAGACCTGCATGCACGTGTGAAAACACAGCAGAAACATGACTGACACAGTATAGTGCAAGTAATAACTTAAACAGTGCATTTAAACAAGAACTTTTTGCAAATATCTCAGAATTTGGCCATGTTTCTAAAAGAACTGGAGCAAACTCCACCACTCACTACGGCCAATGGGAGTTCAATTGTGCTTTTTATCTTTAACCATCACCAACTGTCATTTAACACTGACAATTATTTCTAACTGTCTTGCGGCTTATGTTGGGTGAAACACACAATACAGTAGTCAGCCAAGTGGTATGTATCACCAAGAAATGTTAACAGTTTACTTTTTAACAAAAGATATATCTCTCTCTAGGAATGCTATCCACAATGTTGTCAGACTTACAACAATCTGAACTTTTAAGTGGCAAAAACAAAAACTTTGTCCTTATCAATCATTTACACTCAAGAACACCTCAGTTAGCATTCTACATTTACACACAAGGACACCGTCTGCAGGCAGTGTGAATACATAGATTTTCTTTTTACACATTTGAATTACGTGTACTATTTAAGTAATGGGCTACGGATAAGGAACTTGTCCCATATATGTTAGTTTTGAAATCACAACCATCAAACACACACTCTGTTGTTTCTAAACTTTTCAGATGAGAGTTAATGTGTTGAAAATCCTTGGTATTTGAAAAACATGAGTCACAAATTTTACATTTGAAAGCTTTCACATCTTTCTGATTTTCAGTTTCCTCTGATTTGTGAGCTCTATACAAGTGTGTACGTAAACCACCCCAAGTTCAAAAAGAACATGGACAGTCCAAATGAATGCAGGGCAGAAAATGTCCATGACCTAAAAGTCCGTGTTTCAGTTGATAGTGTTTGAGAAGTCCCCCCGTTGATGATAACACAGATGTACAAAGTTTACACTGCCATCCCATGAGCCACCTTACAGAAGGATAAAAACCGAGGAGCCTAGTGTCCTGTAGAGCTCTGTCCTGAGCGTAAAATGTAAAAAAAATAATAATAATAAGATTAAAACCTCTGTTGTCATAGAAAGTTGATCGACTATAGTCAATATCCCTACAACACATAATGTCCTACTGATAGCTTTTAACATCCCTTATGTCTTATTATTATTTACAAAGAGCAACTTACCTCCTGTGTTTTATTGATCAGTTGTTTTCGTATCTGAAATGCAAATTTTTTTAAATATTTGGCATGCATGACATAACTCTTGAACTTAGGATATGAACATTTTATGTTAAGAAGGGCCAATGTCGACTGCACCTGCTGAGACGATTGAGGTCCTTTGGAGTGTGCAGGACTCAGTTCAGGACTTTTTATGACACTGAGGTGGCATCTGCACTTTTCTATGCAGTGGTCTGCTGGGGAGGAGGGAGCACAGAGAGAGACAGGAAGAGACTGAACAGACCGGTCAGGAGGGCCAGTTCTGTCTTGGACTGTCCTCTGGACTCTGTAGAGGAGGTGGGTGAGAGGAGGATGTTAGTGAAGCTGACATCCATCATGGACAACCCCTCTCACCCCCTGCAGAGTGACACTGTGGGGGCCCTGAGCAGCTCCTTCAGCAGCAGACTGAGACACCCACCCTGCAAGACAAAGCGCTACCTCAGGTCGTTCATCCCATCTGCCGTCAGACTGTTGAATCAGACTCTTTAACAACATCACCACCTCATGCTACACACTGTGTGTGTTTTTAAATAACAAGAACCCTTTCCTGTGTAGTTACTGTGTAATTTTCCATTATTGTATTTTTTTATTTAACTAATGTAAATATTGTTTGATTTGATTTTAACTTCTATTTTTATTTTTAATAATTATATTCCCATCCCCTGTTTTCTGGAGCTGCTGTAATGCACAAATTTCCCCCACAGGGGATCAATAAAGTTTATCTTTATTTTATTTTATAACAACCTAACACACAAGTCATGAATTGCATGCTTTTATATTCCAATTAATGAATACTGTTCCTGGAGGCCCATTTGCCCTCCCTTCTGCCTGAGCAATGCATGCTTTACTACTAGGAGTGAGATTATAGATCAGCACGACCAGGAATTCAAGACAGAGCCTAACCTGACCATCAGGACAGAGACAGGAGAGAGACAAACACACAGACAATATGTTGACTGTTCTCAGCCATTTTCTAGACGTTTTTAATAATATTGTTTTATTTAATGAATGGATTTTATTGTCTTCTGGACGATTTAGAGAAGTTTTTCACCTCACACTCATGTCATTAAAGCATATTTAATTAAAAAACAATAGAAAAAGAGACAGAGTAAAATAAAAAAAATATAGATAGCCTGGAAAGCTCCCAAGAAGCTTAAATATTAGCATAAACACTTTTCTTTGGTCAACTTAAAGGTACAAACACGCATTTTGGCGCCCTAGGCAAGATTTCAGCAGTTGCCCCTGTTGTGGATTTTTCTGTTGGTAATGAAAGATCTCAAGTCAAAGTCTTTTGTCTTTGTGTATTTTATTGCATATAATAAAAAGTTATTTTGCAAAAGGGGTAATCAGCTACAAAAGTAACATCAGTCACAAGTGCATCAAAGATTCCCGGGGCAGTCCCGGTTGCAGAGCATATTTATACTTTCACAGGGTGTAGGTATATTACATAGACATGAGTTTGTAGGTATTTTGCATATACATGAGTGATACATCGTCATGGTTTCAGCTTGCCCTAGTGACTACGCCTTCTGCTAGTTTGCCTGGTGATTTATCTATGCAAGCTTCTTTCTATAAGGCACCTGGTACAGAGGAACACCAACAGAAACTCCATTGTCAGGAGGGCACTGATTTAGGGTCATGCTGTACCCTGATCCTGAGGAGTGTTCCTGTTGGAGAGACAGACCAAGGCCATACAGAGAAACTGTTTTTAATTGCTAAATGACGCACGGACATCCTAATCTTTTAAGGTGAAACGAAGGCAACAGACAGATAGTATTTTTCCACTACACCCCTTATATTGCAGACAGTTTGACCACCAAAGACAATATTCATCCACTTAAGAAAACTGGCTTACAGCTTTATATTTAACAGAATGTCTTTATTTAAATAATAAAAAAATACTTAGTGACAAACATTTATAAAACGGTCATAACACTAATATTTCTTATAAGTAAATACAAAATAAAATAAATACAAATAACCAGTGTAACAGAACAAACAATACCAAACAGTTTAGGGAGCAGAAGGGGTCACAGGTGGCCCAGGGACAGCAGGGGATGGATTTAAATGTTTCTGATTACATCTA